CTCTGCTTAAAAACCTCCAAGGAAGAGGAGTCCACAACCTCCCACGGGAGACAGTTCCTCTCTTGACCAGCTCTTACTGTCAGAAAGTTCTTCCTGATGCTTAGCCAGAATCTCCCTTCTTGTAGCTTGAATCCATTGGTTTGAGAGAAGGGAAGGGCTGGATTATACTTAAGAACTGACCAGAGGGGTGGTTGACTCAGGATCTGGTGTAAGATGTAAAGATTGTTGAGGCAACTGGGAACAGTGTCCATCATGCTATTGAATTAAACATACATGTAAATAAATGGGTCAATTGCCAAGAAAATCCTATACGGTCCCATTTGATTTCAAAAGAAAAACTTCCCCTAAAATGAGGAGACTTGGTAAGAATGAAGTTCAAACGGAAGTCAAGAGGATCAAAGCTCTATAATGCTTGGGAGTTATTTGAAAAGCCATGTTAGACGCTCAAGTGGAGTGTATACTGCCGACCAAGAGAAGCACCAGGAGAGCCAAGAGGAAATCAGCGTAGTTAATGAGCAGTCAAATCATTTGACTCAAATGAGCTGTTAGAGCTAAGAAGTCTTTCTTCCAAAAAATGGAAATCTTGTCCAAATGAAGAGGACAAAAAGGAACCAATAATTTGGCAATAAAGTGCAAGCAGACAGGAAGAGCTGCTAAAAAAGAATTTAAGGAGTGCATTCCTAGAAACATTAATACCAACAAGAAGCAGGAGACTGTTTAGGGAGGCAGTTGTAGCCTTGGATTGTGCTGAAGGTGTGCTAAACATGGATACGGAGAATGCAGAGAAGCGGAATCGGTCTTCACAACAGTAGATGCAGGGCAGATCTCAGGGCCTGAGCTAACTTTTGCAGGGGAGGTCAAATAGGGGTGACGAGAGATAAAACTGCTGTTATTATAATGCTGTTATACAAATCTATGGTGTGACTGCATGTGAAATAATATGTACTGTTCTGATCACCTCACCTCAAAATGGATATTGTAGGGTTGGAGGAGGTTTAGAAAAGCGCAGCTGAAATAATCAAGGGTCTGGAGAGATTCCCCTGCCAAGAAAGGCTGCTGCACTTGGGACTTTTTAGTTTAGGGAAAAGACAAGAGGTGACATGATGGAAGTTTATAAAATTATGCATGGCATAGAGAAAGTGGATAGAGAAATGTTTTACTCCGCTCTCAAAACATTAAAACTCATGGTCATCCAATGAAGCTGAGTGTTGGAAGTTTCATGACAGGCCAAAGAAAGTACTTCTTCATGCAGCTCATAGTTAAACTGTGGAACTCTCTCCCACTTGAATGGCTTTATAAGAGTCGACAAATTCATGGAGAATGCTGTTGATGGCTGCTAGACATAATTGCTATGCTCTGGCTCCACAGCTGGAGGCAGCAATGTTTCTGAATGCCAGTTGTGGAAACTGCAGGAGGGGAAGAGGGCGCCTGTGCTCAAATCTTGCTAGGGGAATTAGATGGAGGATTGGCCTGATCCTAAAGTCTGTCTTAATGTGTGTGTATGTTGCTGATAATACTGATCTGTGGAATTCCAACACTGTTCTAGGGAACCCCATGTTCTAACAAGAAACGCAATCCATGAAAAAGCATCTAAAGAAAATCTGAAGTAAATGCTGCTGCTAAAATGGAATTCCACTGGGCAAAGTAAGAAGAGCTGCCATAGTTATCTCTGAAAGACTCTGTGCCCACAATTGTGCATTTAATTAGATTCTTCATTAGACATGGGCAGTTTTCTAAAGAGCTCTGTGAGAACATTTTATATTGCCTGTGCGTGTGTATGTGTATGCATTTTTTAGAGTTCATGTACATCTTTCTTTTTCGCATTTTCAGATAGCCATCCCCTCAATCCAATTGTGCACACTTTCTTATCTGTTGGAGGAGTTAGATGTCAACTCACAGACATGTTCCCAAGCCTGCATTTTTAAAACTTGCATTGTGTTAATATATTGTTCTGTGGTTATTGTGTTGTATTTTAATTCATGCCAGCTTCTTCAAGTGCTCTGTGAGCACAGCAGATGGGCAGGATATAACAACAATTCCTTCTGGAATACTATTTCCCGTGTCACACTTGAAATCTGCAGAGCAGAGGGTTCATTCTTTCTCCCACAATGGCTAGGCTACCAGTATTTCAGAATCCTCCGCAAGTGGGACTGTTGTTTCTGCTTTTTTATATCTTAAGTATTAGCTGCCATGTGCAAAACTGCAGATTATCTTAAAAGCATTCCTGTGCAATGAGTAAAATAGGGATGTGGAGCACTCAGGTATCTACCCAGAGTGAGATACTGCCTATATAGAGGCCATTCACTGTATTTTCTTGTTCTCACCACAAGGTGGCAGTTTTGCACTGTTTCTACACTTGAATTGAAACATTTCTTTTTCCTCCTGCCTGCCAAGATGGCCAGTGTTCATATTAATTATTGTTATGCTATTGCTAAACAGTTAGAGAAACTCATTGCTGAATCAGGGAATATCAGTCGCTCCAGTCTCCTCATAGTTGATTTTAGAGGGGCGTTTCCCGTGAAAATAGCCTTTTCTTTTAAAGGACAAATTCTGTTCTTTGAATTCTAAATGTCGCATATATAATTTTGCTCAATTTTTATCAAAAACTTCACTAGCTAACCTGGTGGTGGTGCACCTCTGAAAATGTGACTCTTTAGGACAAACTGTTGTCAGGCAGGAACAAGTTTGTGTGTGTCAAACTTGACCCTCCAGCTGTGATTGGACTACAATTCCCATCATCCTTGACCACTGGTCCTGTTAGCTAGGGATGATGGGAGTTGTAGTCCCAAAAGATCTGGAGGGCCAAGTTTGGCCATGTCTGGTCGAGAGGATGCCATTATGCAGTGTTTTGCCCCGTGTTGTGTAGGGTTTCTGGGATTATGGGGTGATTTCTGGAATGGTGAAGTAGACACAACTCAGTGTTCTGGCAGGGTGAAAGAGCCAGTTCAGAGAAGCCCTCATAGACATGGGAGTTTCAAGCTTCGAAGAGACTAGTCAGCCAGATTTTTAAAAAATCTAGTTAGGAAATTAATACAATTTTCTGGGCCAACAGAGCTCTAAACTGATGCAGGCAGAATAACCTCAAGTGCTTCAAATGGATTGGGCGAACTTCTTGCACTCCTCCAGCTGAGGCCTAGATCTGTACCTGGGCTGTCCCACCTCAGACGGCAGGTGATACTCGCATGATTGAATGTTCTCCCATACCAAACGTTCCCTCCACATAGAAAAATGGATGTCAAGGTAGAGATCCTAGCCAGGGGCATAGCTAGGGGTCAGTTAGGTTGGATCCTGCCAAGGTCCAGGGTGTGTGTGCGCAAAAATTGCACCTCTCCACTCTGGCTTGGAGTGGCTCCCTGGGCCACCGCTCTGTGTGTCCAGCTCCTTGGCAAGGCTGCGAGGGACCCCAGACAGGCCCCTGATATGCTCGTTTTCTATGTGTAAGCGTCTTCTTTTTAAAAAAATGCTGGAGAACATTTAATTGTGTGCCCCCCCACCCCGCACTGCCTGAAGCAGGACAGCCCAGACACAGGTTTATCGTCATGGAAAAGACAGTTCTGTGATTCTTTTTTACAACCCTTTTTTGTGGTTATAACAAAAGAAACAGTTGCTGAGGCTGCAGTTTGGAGGGGTAGACTAGTGGAGATTCTGACTAGGAGAACAGCATGGAGGGGAAGGGTTAATCGTCATCATCATCATCATCATCATCATCACATGCCAACCCAGGCACTGCTCCAAAGAATCTGGTGGACGGCCACCATTGCTGCATTTCACGTGGTGGTGGTGGGTTTGGGGTGGGGGGGAATGTTGGCAGATCCCAACACAAATCTCCACATAACGTGTTGTTTCAGCCTCCAAACATTCTGCTCGAAGGTAGACAATAATTAAGGAGTTTTATGGGGGCTAGTGAGGAGTTAAGTGCCTTGCTTTTGTAATATTCACACGTTTCACGCCCAGGGATGTTATTCTCCCCGCACCCAGAAAAGAGGCTCAGGTTTGGTGCATCGTGTTGTTAACTCAAAGCGTCCCTCTGCTCTGCCCCTACATGGTATTTGTGGGTTGGCACTGACTAGTCTGTGTCGATGCAACTGGAAGCCGCTGCCACAAAATGCGTGGCTACATAGAGAGGTGGCTGCACTTTGAAGTTATCTTCACCAATGGACTGGTGAGGGGAAGGGACATAGGCTTTTTAAAGGGACAATTGACTCTGCTAAACTCCCCTTTCAGAAGTTGACTTTAAAGCAGGTAAATGTTTAAACGCCTGAGAGAAATTTAGTTGGAGTGCCTATAAAATTGGTACAGCATGGGAGCAATACAGGTGAGAGACATTTAGTTCCAAAATGATTTCGACACACGAGCAAGTAGATTTGCTTGCATTTGTTTTTGGGAACATGACCTAGGGTTTGTGTTGGGATGGAAGGATGAAGTGTCTTCGCCTGCCTTGTGTGAAGGGTGGCCCAAATGCCAGGTCTTTAAAGGAACGGAGCCCCGAGGCCTCTGCAAGTGGGTTCAGTAAGTTTCCAGATTTTGGAATCTTCTTCCCCGACTGATGGACATTTGCTGGCTCAGCAGGCATCACTGTGAAAATGTCACTTAGTTCATGTAGCAGCAGCAGCAATGGGCAACCAGAGCTCTGGGAGCCGACCTTGGTACCCGCTGGCAGAACAGGCTGGCATGTGAACAGAAGCACCCCACGTACAGTAGAAACTGGGTTAAGAAGGAAAACCTTAAATAAAGCCATTTTCTAACAGGTTCAAGAGAGAACAAAAAAACTCTTCTTTTATGGAGGTGTGCTGGGTAGGAACTCAATAAAGTCACTGGGAATGACAGCAAAGCATCAAGGTTGTTCTCTTACCAAAGTCAGCCATCCCTCAGGGGCGTCATGGCTTCCCTCAGCCACTCAGTATGGAGCAGGCTGCTACCTTTTGTCCTCTCCTTTTCAGGTGATAAAATACAAACAAATGACAGAAAAGGACTGCTTGTCCAGAGGGATCCTGGCCCCTTCACAGCTGCAGGGACCGCCGCTTCCTCCCCAGGGTGTTGCGATGGTTGTAGGGCCTCATCTTCATTTCCACAAAGGGTATGGAGAACTCGTGTCCTTTCCAGTGGTACCAGTTAATACCCTGTGGGCAAAGCAGGGGGAAGGTCATTGCCAAAGGGATAGGGATACGGTGGTACATCAGGTTACAGACGCTTCAGGTTACAGACACTTCAGGTTAAAGACTCTGCTAACCCATAAATATTACCTCGGGTTAAGAACTTTGCTTCAGGATGAGAACAGAAATCACGCGGCGGCGGCGGCAGGAGGCCCCATTAGCTAAAGTGGTGCTTCAGGTTAAGAACAGTTTCAGGTTAAGAACGGACCTCCAGAACGAATTAAGTTCTTAACCTGAGATACCACTGTACTTGGGATAATTCTGGTAGCATAACAAGAAGGGAGGATGCCATGAGGAGTAGAACAGGGCACTCACAACCACTTCCTACTGAAATACTTTTAAGGCTTAAAATAAAGCAGGATTGGCTTTATTCTGTTTATAATTATAAGATTTAAACCGCAGAGCACTTTTATTCAAAGTACATTAGGCCTGATTTGCACGTTCAGAAGAATGAAGTGACAGAGACTTGAGATGGTAAAGAGAACTGCTTCGGGCTTCGGCAGGAGGACCATTGTAATGAATGCTCCCCATGTGAAAAGCTTAGTTTAAATAGAATACTAACATAGCTGGAAGAGGGAGAGGCAAGATAAACTTTCTCCCCGATAGCCTAGTGCTCTCTGCCACCCCAGAAGTTGTAGCACTGCATTATTTAGCATTGTACAGACCAGGACTTGAGATGACAGAAGCCTCCGCTATACCACTTTAGACTGCAGGTAGGAAATTATATTTTTTAAAATAAAAAACCCCGATTCCCTGTATAAAAACTCCACACAGACATAAAACCACCCTATGAAAGAAAACTACTTTGTCTAGTGCTTTCACTGCTGTGCTGGTTCACTATAAGGAGGAAGCTTGTCACCAGGTGATGAGAGCTCATGCTCTTAACCACACAGCTCTCTTCTGATGAGCTAAGAGGCGTGCAAAACATATCATTAACAAGCAGAGAAGCTGAGCTCCTGTTTGCAGCCTGAACTGACCCTCCACTTACCTGGCTGTGTCGGGACTCGCCATACTTGCCATTGAGGTTAGTCCTGTGACAGTTCTTATACCACCAGGCACCTTTGTATGACATGGCACAGTTTGTGACAGCAACATCGTTGTCTCTGTCTCTGGTGGAAAATGGGCGCCCTTGATGATATGTGAGTGAATCCCCTGCAACAGAAGACAGGTCATTTTCCTTCTGCCTGCAAAGGGACAGAGTTCATGCATGAGTTCATGCATGTATGTTTGTCGCTCGGTGGCTGCACTGGTTTTGGCTCTGTGCAGAACAAGCACTGAGGGCTTGTCCTCACTTCTGCTTTCCCCCCTGCTTTCTCCTGGGAAAACCCACTCTTTACTTCCTAATCGGAGCAAACGCCAGTCGGGTTTTTCAGTGGATTGACGTTTGATCTGATTCAGCGTTAAATGGCAGGTGTTCCCGGGGAAAGCAGTGAGGTGAATAGAAAACTACTCTGACCCATGTCTAGAAAGCATGGGACAAGTTGAAAACTGTTTGGACCCCTGCTTTCTAAGGGCAGGACAAGCAAAGTGCATACAAGCCCCAAGTTGTGAGAGTGGCCCAAATTAAGAAGCAAGCAGAAGCAGCTTCTGGGGGTTGCTGCACGTATGTGGTGCACAGTGTGGGAGTCTTTTTGTGTTTCAGGCAGCCTGACATATTGTTTGACACCCCCTGCCCCAGTACATGCATCTTTTATGCTATTTCCAGAGCCATGTTAGTCTCTGGCAGCATCTTCTAGGCTGGTTAAGAGCACCTGCTGTTGCATCGACACCACTGTTTTTGCATCGTCCCACCCTCAAGAACAACTGGTGTAATTACACAACCCATTAGGCATCATGGATGGCAAAGGAAGCCCTCTCACTATCCTCATTCTGATCAGGAGGGCATAGGGCATGTCTTCTCACTGCCTTGGCATCAGGGATGTGTGCCAGTCTCTCCCCCTTCCCCCATTCAGAGGGAAGAAATGAGTGCATCATGGCAGAGGATATCCTCCCCACCCAAACTGTTTGCTTATGCGCATGTGCTTATGAATACACAAAGCAAATAATTGGGCCTAGTACACAGAGTTCTTACACTCCCTAGCGAGGAACATCTGTGTGGATACTTCTCCTCTGGGCAGGGATTCTATAACACAGGAGACTGTCCTTTTTACTTCCTTCTGCTTCTGAGGAGACTCTCTATTCTATCATGCTTCTAAACTTATCAGACATGTGTCTGGGGGCTCCACACACACACAACCTATTTTGAAACCAGCTTTTGGGTTTTGTACCTGAGAGGTTTTCTTACCTGTATTGTATTTGCTGCCTGCATTGAAATGTAAGTAAACCTTTTTTGATTATCTTACTAAAAATGTGTGGTTCCCTTCCTGCAATTAGGGTGACGAAAGGGAGGCCCGGAGACCACAAATAAAAGGATAAAAATGTGTAATTTCCTTATTCCTAAACTTTAGTAAGATGCAAAGCATGCAAGTGTTGTACTTTGCTAAAACAGCTTCACAGCCCACCTACTTTTCATATTCCTTGCACAAACACGGAATAGGAGGTATAAATTTCAATGTACAGATTTAATCATCAGTCCATCACCTACACATTGCCATCAGTATGGCTTGAGGAACGTGGAAAGTTCCAGTTGCCATAACAGGTGAACACTTTGAGCTCCTTTGAATATTCACTGATGGGGTGGGGGAGAGAAAAACAAAAATGTTTGCAAAAATCACCCCACCCCATTTTTGGCTGAGCATTAGCCTGGGTTCCATTTTAGAAGCTCATCATCACTGATAGATACAAGAGGGAGACAGATGTTTACATCTTTTGGCCAAGTGTTATATGGGCGCATATGAATCTGCAGTCTAGGGTTTCAGATGAATGGGTCCATCTACCTCATCTAAACCACTGCGACATGAGATTATCTTACGTGGAGATGTCAGGGGTTGAACCTGGGACCTTTTGCATGCAAAGAAGGATCACCACCAAGCTATGTTTGTTATATCCTCAGGAGACACTTGGGCTTACCTACTAACTATTATAAAGGCCACATTGCATACTTTCAAAAAAGCAGCTGCATGGGTCCTATTTGTATATCCCTACCTTATGAATTAAACTGGGGGAGGAGGAGAATGAAATACATGGGTGGGGTGGAGATAAATAGAAATGTGTTTGGTTTGCATGGAGAGAATTGGCTGATCTCTCTTGTGGGTGAGGCGAGAGCTGTTAAGCCTGAGGAAAAAAGTCTTGGAGTAGCAAGTGGGGAATGTGCCCTGAATTTGTACCAGCAGTGCCATTGTAGTCCCCTATCCGAAGCTTGTACAGGCTCCTGGCATCTCCAACGGAGAACTTGTCATAATATGCGAAGGCTGTTTCCTGGCCGTCTCTCATATCTATCCGCAGTTCATAGCGCCCCTGTGATGTGATCTTGTGCATATTGTCTAGTCCTAGAAAGACAATAAAAAAGAGTTTATAGGATTGCATGCCTAGAAATCATGTGAACAGCACGGTGTAAGAACCGGCTCTCAATGCACATGCTGCGATGTGGAATTGGGAGTAAAAGGAGAGTGGAAATTTGCCATGCTCCATGTTGTTGTTGTTGTTGTTGTTGAATCCCCTCTGTCCTGAGTCTAGCCTTTGTTGTCCAGGAGGTGCAAATTGGATGTGGGTTCTGGATAATGGGACCCAGAAGCCAAGCCTCATGCTGGAATGTCCATTTGTTGCTCTGTGCTTCCTCCCCTACCTAACTGGCCATTATAAGAATGCATGGAGTCAGGTGTAGGTCAGCAATAAAAAACACCATTGTCTGTTAACTCTTTATAAAGTTCCATGAGAAGTGGGAAATAACTATTTTATCCCAATATTCCATAACCCAAGGGTGGGGAATCGCTGTTCCATGGGCATACATTGGGGAAGGGGAAACAGGAACCCCCCCATTGTGTGGGGCCACCCATGTGTCGATCACCTGACAGTACCATGACAGCAGGTGACAACTTCAAAGGACAGAATCAGGAATGCACTCCTAATTTTTCCTTTCTTCCTTTGCAGGTGCAATGTGCATTTAAGAAAGATTTTTTTGCCTTTGCCATCCAACGAGTTCAAGCTGGGCAGCAAGGCACAATGTTCCTTTGCAGGAGCAACTTGAATCTGAGCTTTGTGTGCCAAGAAGATGCCCTGCCACAAATGAGGCTTGTAGCTGGATTCGGCTCTGTGACAAACCCTGCTTGCAGAAGAACTGTTGGGAGCACATTCTTAACTCCTGACTCTTTTTTCTTTCTTTCTTTCTTTCTACTGTTTTTATTTATTTTCATGGTACAGAAGATAAATTTTGAGGAAACAATTGTTACAACAGTAAACAACAAGTAACTTGTCCTGATAAAAGTACAGACTTTTATCATGCCATGTGTTAAAGTTTCATTTGATTCCTCTAAGAGATCATGCCAGATTTCCCCATGAGTGCTGGGTGGATTCCTGCCACAGTCTGATCAACTTATGTATTCAATAAACATTTGCCATATGAGAAACTAACATGCCAGGTGAGAGCGGCAAAGGGCAAACACAATCCTGGCTGTTTCTTTGAAGCCATGTCTTTTTCTGGCCCATACCTGACTTCAGCTGTGGGGCAGGTGGGCATGGCTGCGGCAAAACAGCCTCATGAGCCAAATTTTGATCCCTGGTGGCCCCAATTTGGCCTGCGTGACATAAGCTGTTGCTTTGGCCGTGCCTCACATAAGCTGTTGCCAGTACTCTGACCTCTACAGCCAGCTCCTCCACGGTCCCCTGATTGCCCCCCACCCACAACTGTTTCAAGAATGGAATAAACTCATCAGACGTAGCCTTGGGCTCATCGGCTACACATATTTCTGCCTATAGGGTGAATTGTTTTTCTGCAATCTTTCTTCTTCATAGACAGCTCATGAGAAAATAAAAACTCAATAAAACAAGTTATATTTTCAGCAGTGCTAAAATTCCTACTTTTGCCACTAAAAATATTCCAGGTGTGTCTCTGCTCTGCTGGGGTTATATAGCAGTTTGCAAGCCAGGCTCCCCTTGCCCTCTGAAAGGATCCTGGTAATTGTAGCTTGGTGAATGTGTTGAGAATTGTGTGTTAGAGACCTTGAGCTCCTCTCATAGAACAGCAGTTCCCAGAGTTCCCTGGGGTGGTGGAATTATTATCAAATCAGTTTAATTATGTAGTGTTGATACATCCTTCCTACGCACCAGAGATAGGGCTAACATATTTTGCGTTAGATGTACATTTGCTTGATGTAACCCAAAAGAATTCCTCAGTTTATGCTTGGGCTTTTCCCTCAGCAGAAACTGCCAATCATGCTGAATGGCAGAGTTTATCTGTGATGCAGACAAAGCGCATTGAAATGGAACGAAATGACTCCATCTAGCTTGCTTTGTGAGCAAAAGGATGTTTGACCACAGTTCCATGGGGGCTAAAGGGCAATTAAGCTTGCTGCTCTACCTAACAAATGAAGCAGTGACCAGGTCCCAGTTACGAGCCTTTCATGCCACAGAGCCCATCATTAATGAGGAACACGGACAGGACAAAGAATGGAGAAACCTGACAAGTCAAAAGGCAGATTGATGGAGAATGCAGGAAGAGTGAAAGAGACAGATAACTGTCTGATGATGCACAGAAGGCAAAGAAGAAATGAATGACACACAGAGAGAAACCAAGTGCGCCTGTTGCAAGATGATATGATGGACAGGTGTCTGGTTTCATGGCTGACAGTGACAGGGACAAGAAAAGGGTAAAGGTTTGTTACCCAGCCAGAACTCATCCTCTAAGTTTCCAAAGCCAATACGATAATCTGCCCACTTCCGAAAAAAATCTGTCAGCCCATTCTGCCGTCTCTGAAACACCTGCAGAGGAAGAAAGGACAAACCTTATGATATATGAGACACGTATACCTGTGGATGGCCTTTGTTACCGGGGAAATGGCAGGAGAACATGTGACCCTTCCAGGTGGAAACTTCAAATGAATAAACTTTAAGGTTTTAAAGTTCAGATATAAAACCTCAGGTGTCCCCATAGATTATTGTATATACATGAACATATGTATGCTCTGCGCAGAGTCACTGCCCATCATACATTCTTTTTATAACGCCTTCCTAGCTGTTCCAGAAAAGACTGAAATGTTGTCTTGCTGCCATGCTCATTCCAGAAAATAAGGGATGCATCCCAGGTTTATCTGATCAACTTTTGCTGGACCACCTTTCAAGCAAGTCACTGTGGCAGGATGGGTATTATATTGGATATGTACTATCCCTGCTCAGCCATGAGAATATAAAATTATCAACAACAGAACCCAGGTTTCAACTTTTGTGTTCAAATCAAAGGAAAGCACATTTAGCTCCACAGCACAGAGCAACTCGGTCTGTAGGGCCCATAGCATGAAATTGGACAAGCAGGCTTTGAAGTGGATAACACAGAAAAATACTTTCCTTCAAAACGCTACGTTGGCTGTATTAAGAATCCATACTGTACGTTTATTTGGCTTGTACAGTGGTACCTCGGGTTACAGACGCTTCAGGTTACAGACGCTTCAGGTTACAGACTCCGCTAACCCAGAAATAGTGCCTCGGGTTAAGAACTTTGCTTCAGGGTGAGAACAGAAATCGCGCGGCAGCGGCGCGGCAGCAGCATGAGGCCCCATTAGCTAAAGTGGTGCTTCAGGTTAAGAACAGTTTCAGGTTAAGAATGGACCTCTGGAATGAATTAAGTTCTTAACCTGAGGTACCACTGTACAGGTATGTGTTCTGTGCCAGGAGCAGTATGGGTTTAAAGCTAGACTGTCCACTCTTGAGGACAACTGTCCTCTCCCTGACTTAGGCTACACCTGTACATGACCTCATAACAGCTCCCTGACTTTCTTGAGTCTTGAAGTTTCTTTTTCAAGAAAGATAGCCATCTATGTCTCCTCCTCTCTGGTGCTTTTTCCAAGCAATTGGAGTCTGTGCCTGGATGCAGCTTATCTTTGCGCCACCTGTTTCATAGAATCATAGAATCATAGAGCTGGAATAGACCACAAGGGCCATCGAGTCCAACCCCCTGCCAAGCAGGAAACACCATCAGAGCACTCCTGACATATGGTTGTCAAGCCTCTGCTTAAAGACCTCCAAAGAAGGAGACTCCACCACACTCCTTGGCAGCAAATTCCACTGTCAAACAGCTCTTACTGTCAGGAAGTTCTTCCTAATGTTTAGGTGGAATCTTCTTTCTTGTAGTTTGGATCCATTGCTCCGTGTCTGCTTCTCTGGAGCAGCAGAAAACAACCTTTCTCCCTCCTCTATATGACATCCTTTTATATATTTGAACATGGCTATCATATCACCCCTTAACCTCCTCTTCTCCAGGCTAAACATGCCCAGCTCCCTTAGCCGTTCCTCATAAGGCATCGTTTCATCCCTCTCCTGGTTCTGGGAGGAAGGGAGCTTGTTGCAGCAGGAGTGGTAGACACCTCTGACTCTTCACCAGCCTGACTCATCTCTGCTTCTAGACCTGCCTCCTCTCGCTTGCTTCATATTCTGCCTCTGATTCTGGACTTCTCTCTGCCACAGACTCTCCCAGCTCACTAAACCCGGCTACCTCTTCAGCTTCTGACACGTCCTCTTCCTAGTCTTCTCCCTCTGACCACTCATCGTTGTCCCACTACCAATCCCTGGGCTCTGAGCCTTCCTCCCTTGGTGGTTCCTCAGCTGGTTCCACCCACCATTTCTCCGCATCCAACCAGTCCATGACAAAATGTGACTCTCTTTAAATATTCTTCATGTTTAAAAACAATTGTATTATTTTACTGTTTGGTTGTTTGCCACCCTAGGCTCCTTTGAGAGGAAAGATGGGGCAAAAATGTAATCAATACTAATGGTAATAATGTTGGGTGCCAGATAGTTTAAAAGCAAAAGTCAGCCCTATGTTATCCTGGCTTCTTTGCACACCTTGCAGCTGCAGCTATGCAATCACAGTGGACTGCATTCTCTTGCTTTGAAATATTCATGCATGGTACCTGGTCACCCATCAGGTATCTACTTAGCCACCCACCAGGCAGCTGAATGATGATGTCAGTCCCACAAGAAAAACTAACCGCCTTCCCTTTTGCCTGAGCAATGTCTGTTCCCCGTTGCTAACCGATAAGGCCACAGGCAACCTTGCCCATTACTCTTTGACTGCACTCTTCATGGTGGTACACCGTCCCGTTCATTAGCAGCCTTGCTCTGTACTCTGGTACATGGGGCTGGATTTCCCAGGTCCATGTTACTCCTTCTTTAAGACAGGAATTGATCATCTGGTTCCACAAGGAATGACATTTCCCTAATGCAGAGGAGGCTTCTGTACTCTTAAGGGTCATTATACACTCTGGTTACCAGCCTGTGAGCAGGGACAAGCCAATGCAAGTGACTCTGTAATCAATGGGGTGCTTCTTAGCAGTAAGCACTTAACAGCTATGGAAGGCTGTCAACAGGGGATACAAAGATATAAAGCGCTTTCTGAAAGATGCTCTGAAAAGGTACCTATGTGCTGGTCCTCCGCATTACCAGGAGGCACATTGGAAGGCAAGACCGTAATATTTATATAAAATGCAAATGTAAAATCCTTACAAGTGAAAATGTGAGCAAAACTGGCTTTGCACCACACCTTGATTAACATTTGGTAGGACCACAAAGAACCAGGAAAAGTTGCTTCTGAGGTGAAATCCTGCCTGCTAGCCTTTCGGGGGCCATCCTGGGTCTATTGTGCGCTTCCCGTAGCTGCCATATGTTGAGCAGTGAAATGCAAATTTTGAAAGACACCGTCGATTAATTTCCTTGATAGCATCATGAATCAACTCCAGCTTCACTCTCCAAAGGAGTTACATGTGTCAAATAAATCACCAGGAATCTCTCAGAGTGTAACTATTATTAACTTAGTCCCTAAGGCATGGAAAATAGAGTACCCTGGTGAGATGGTTCTAGTTATTGACTAGTGCCTTTTTCTCTTCTCTTCTCTTCTCTTCTCTTCTCTTCTCTTCTCTTCTCTTCTCTTCTCTTCTCTTTTTTTTCAAAGCCTAACTACACAATTAAAGGCATGCAACACTGTTCCCCACCCCTGGCCTCTTGGTTTTTCAAAGAGAAAAAGCTGCTTTGGGAGAGGTAATTTAAAAGTCGTACTGGGTGCTAATTAACCCTTTCCCTGACTGTTGCTGGACTCCAGGCTGCTACCTCCACAGATTATTGTGTTTTATCCTCACAAAGATACATGTGGAACTCTATGGGGAGAAAAACTGTGTGGATTTGGAGCAGAGAAGCAGCAGAGGGATAAAACATTTAGGCCCCATTTATCCATTCTAACTCCTTCCCTCCTTTTTCTCAAAAAAGAAAAATTGTGTGTGAGAGAGAAAGAGAGAGAGGCTTCTTCACATAAATTTAAATAACAGGATGTGCATTGTATCCTCCACAACAGCTAAAATGGACGCCATCTTGTCAAGCAAGCTACAGGGTAGACCTCAGAACCCAGCAAAGTTGAGGCTCCTCCTGCACAGTTGTCATTCATCATTGTGGGACTGTGCCTCCAGGCTGCCCATTGCCTCTGCTCTCTTAAGATATGGGATGTAGTGGCCAAATTTATACTGTTAGAACTGCTTCACATATTACATTTATCTAAAATACTATAAAGGTAAAGGGACCCCTGACCGTTAGGTCCAGTCGTGACTGACTCTGGGGTTGGGCGCTCATCTCGCTCTATAGGCTGAGGGAGCCGGCGTTTGTCCACAGACAGCTTCCGGGTCATGTGGCCAGCAGGACTAAGCCACTTCTGGTGAACCAGAGCAGTGCACGGAAATGCCATTTACCTTCCCACCAGAGCGGTACCTATTTATGTACTTGCATTTTGACGTGCTTTCGAACTAAGTGTGAACAGTGAGTGAGGATAAACTTGTTTTTGCAAATATATGCATCATATATATATTGCATCATATGTACTTACTAGTCACAAGGAAACCAGGATTGGCTGAAGCACCCTACTGAAAAGATCCTTAGCATCCTGGTAGTCTGGCTCTTGCAAGAATGGGGATGACAATGTTCACCATATGTAGGCAGATTTCAAGTGCAGAAAGGAACACTGAAGGGACACTGCCTGCTTTGGCTATGTGCTGGTTCAGGGAGCGAAGGTCATCACACTTCCCAGGCACAGTGACATTTTCACGTCTCCTACCACTGGGTTGGTAAAGCTTGGCACCTGTTGTCCCTTAGAGCCCTGCCCTTCTAACTGAATTTTGCTACAATAAAATTCCAACTTACTTTCTTGGTTTAAGGCTCTTTTTAAAAAGATAGAGAAAGCTGTCAGCTGCCTTAGACTGTCCTAGGCCAGTTTAAAAGCGAAGAGATAAAAAGAGGAGGAAAAACATTATCCTACGACATGTTGTCAAAAGTTCAAAATATAACTCAGCAGTTGCCGTGTGTGAAGTGGCAGACATTGTGCTCCATCTTGCCTTAGTGCTCATGCGCTCAATCGTGAGCTTGATGCATACGCTTTCCCCTCCCCATGGAGAGACTTAATTTCTAGAAACTAAGGAAAGTAATCAACCATGAAGAATTATAACTTCGGCCACTCAGTTTAACAAAATGTTAATAAGGCATTCCACACATACCCGACTCAAATATTGGACTCATGAATCACATAACTCTGTGAAGCCATTAAACCCTCATAAATATGACTTTTTGATTGAAGAAGAAGAAGAGGACTTGCATAACAAGTTTGTTTGCTCACTTACAATCCATCCGCCTCCATCCGTGGTCATATCACAGTACACTTGCACTCTCTGGCCAAGATCCCCATTAAGAGAGATGGTGTAAACACCGTTCATCATGTCACCATTCATCAAATGTTGGGCACAATCTTGAGGATTCATAAACACACGACCTCCTGTAAAATTAGTGCAGTGAACACGTCAGCAGTGATATCACACCTCTGCTTGCCTATCACATTGGCAAACACTTTTGTTCATGATAAGCCAAGACCACGACAGGGAGGTCAGATCCTGTGAATGCTCTTGCTGTATGGAGAATAAACTGTGCCCATTTTTAAATTTAAATCAGTTTTGCTGATAACGGGGACACTAAGGGACACTTCGAGTGTCTGATATTGCACAAAGAAAAGATGGAAGACTGGAGGAAGTTGAGGGTATTGGTTTAATCTAGTCTAGGACTCCAGGTGGCAACAGGTATCAGGGATGAGTCTTCCTGAGAACTTTTTAACTTAGGACCTTCTATACTTAAAGCATGGGTTCAACCAGACTTCCTTTTGTGACAAATTTCTAGGCATAGATCCAGACTTTAAAGCTCTGTGTCCAAGCAGGTTTGTTTTTGTCCCAGTACTTTCCGCTGGAAAAACCATGTTTTACTGCTGAATCAGAGCAAACGACAATCAGGTTTTCTGCGGATTGCTGTTTGATTCAATTCAGTGGTAAAACACAGGTTTTCCTGGAGAAAGCACTTGGGACGTGGAGTTTTAAAACATGGACCTGTGCCTGAAGAGTGTGGCACAAAAGGAAGGCTGGGCGAGCCCCATGAGGAAATAGGCCTCCCTAAGCAGAGGGTCAGCTTATTTCAAGGAGACTCCAGGGCCTTGACAAGACTACAAAAACCTACAGGAAAATCTGGGTCTCCTACAGACAGAAATCAATGAAAGTAGGATTTTCATTGGCCCCAGGGCAGGGGTTCAGTGCTCTGCAAGCTCGTTGTCCAACCCATGGCTAGTGGAAGTTGAGGAAATATATATAAAATTACCAAAAGAGAAATGGGGTGGGGAAATCAAATTTGATTAATTTCTATAACTATACCATGGTGATTTGATTTTTCTTGGCGCCAATGATGTTGTTTTATAAGTAAAAGTGTCTAATGTAGTCCGAGCGCTTAAAAAAATATTTACTTATTACATTTAGATACCACCTTTGTCTTCCAAGGAGCTCAAGGTGGTATATGTGGTTCTCTCCCTCCCCATTTCATCCTGACAGCAACCCTGTGAGGTAGGTTAGGCGGAGTGATGGTGACTGGTCCAAGGTCACCCAGTGAGCTTTATGTGTGAGGGGGGATTCGAACCCTGGTCTCCCCACTTGGTCCACACTTCCCCTTGCCCTGCTACTCTTTAGTGCAAAATTGGAACAAATGCCAATCTGGAGAAAACCCAAACTGCCATTTTCTCTGAGCACTAAAGAGCATTTTTCCCCAGGGGGGGGGAGCACTAGGACAAGAGGAAGTCTTATATCACAGAATTCTCTCCCCCCAACCCCAGAACAACCCACTCCCCTCTCAGCCAACGAAAGGCTAACTGTGGTTACTCCTCTGGAAGGAGCCTTGCTCACAGAATCTCCCCCCTTCCCGCCCTCCTTTAACTATTTCCTCCTCCTTAACTGTTGCTCTGTCAGGGGACTTCTTTCAATTTCATAACATCCAAGCCTCTTGTGAATCCCCTGGTGCTCCATAGTGATTACTTATTTCAATTCATATTCATACCTTTTGAACTCTAAACAGACCTTGGAAGACCTGGGTGACATTAATAATAAAGTTTCCTTTGTGCCACTTATCTCGCAATTCTCCTAGAATCTCATGTACATGTGAGCCACAACGGACAGCTATTAGCATGGCTGGGGGAATGAAAGCACCTTGTTATGTCTCTAGTCAACCTGAGCAGGTTCAAGTCTTTCAGTGTACAACTGGGGATTTTCTCTTTTGTTAATCACACTTTATTGTTCTCCTGGAAAGCCTTTTGAGAATCGAAGGAGGCTGGTGCTGCAATTCTTAGCTTTCTAGGGTCAAACTGCACATTATGCTGAGGGCATGTTTGAATCCTGCACTTGAGGTTCCCTGCATCTTTTGCTTTAGAAAGATCAGCTGCTGACGATGGGGTTGGAAACTAAACTGGGGTTGTGATCTTCAGGGAGGTGTTCCTTCACCAGACCTTTCTCCTGCGCTGTATTCATGTGGAAATTTGCCCCCCCCGTCATTGTTTGTCTCTGGATTTGCTATGTTCTGCAGATTTGCAGATTTAGCTTGGGAGGCAAATGGCGGTGGCGCAAGAGCTTGTTCAAAGCTACCTGGTAAAGTCATCATGACAGAGATAAAATTCAAACCAAGCTGGTTTTCCTGACCTGTAGCCCAGTCACTTAGCCACTATATTACACCAGCTTTCTGTCATGTGTCTCATAACCCTGAAGCCCTTACTGCTACGTTATGCTGACTTTGTAATGAAAATACACTGTTTGGAGAGTACAGAAGTTGGTCACCTCAGCATATATCAAAATATACCAACCATGTAAAAACCAGCGACACTACACTGAATTACGCCATGAGGTCTGATATGCTTTTCATCTGTCAGCAAGATCAATCTAAAAGCTCTGCATTGGCTTTCATCCCTAGCAACATAAGTCACCCTAATCCTTTACACTAACTGAAGTGGAAGGGAGAATAATGCAACAGCCACAGATCTATAGCTGTATGAGGCAAGCAGGGTTTTTGGCTGTTGATAGCTGTTGCTGTTAACCGGCAGCCTTTTCAAAAACCTTTTCATGCACATCAATGAAGAATATATCCGCAGAAAGTTCAAAGGCAGCCCTTTTAGACTACTAGGTATAAACACCAAGTGATTTCAGAACTATATGGGTGGACAGCTCCTTCCTGCTTCTTTTGAACAATTTAGGTACAGATGTAATTGGATTCAACATCCAACCACTTTTGTGCATCCCCTTTCTAAACAAGCCGTTCCACTCTGGGTGCCCTCTTGTGCTGTTTCACAATCTTCATGAGTCTACGCAAGAGCATTCTCCAGTGAGATATTATTATTTCTGTAGACACCTGCTTCTTCCAAATGCACCTATTTGTAGCATAAACTAATCTAAATTCAGGCTGTGTAATCTGATTTTTTAAAAAAATACTTGCTATATTATAAAGAAACAGATGTTAGGCAGTCAAACCTGTAGACAGAGCTGTTCATTTTCACTGACCCAGGAAAACACTGTTATGTATTGAACTTCAGTTATTTAGGCCTGGAGCTGTTTGCAGGATGTTTGGAGGACTTTGACCTAACACCTTAATGTCTACCTTGCCTTGTAACAGTAGCTGCAGTAGACTGCCTAGTTCAGTCCTGTAGTTAACCAATGGCTTCCTGCTGGTCCCAGGGGCATTTAAAGAGACGCGTGAATAGTAATTCCAGAAGAAATTCATGGGGGACTCAGAGGATCCTTTGGGGCAATGTACTCAAGTGGCAGCTGGACAATTCCAGATACTCTTGAATTTGCCTAGTCTAGTTCAATTTCAATCCAGTTTTGGGTAGAAACAGAGACTTACACTGGAGGAAACACAGGAGGAGTGTGATCCTTCTGGACCTTTGAGCAGCTCTGGATACCACTGACCACGGTTCCTCCCTGTACTAACTATCTGTGGTGGGAGCAGAGGGCCCAGAAAAATGATGTTTCTGCTTCTATATTGATCATGGGCTCCAGAAGTGGTGTTGGGAGATTGCCACTGTCCCCTGGCAGCTGTTCTATGGTTTGCCACAAGGTTTTATTTTGCCCCTTGTGCTATTTAACCTCACTCAGAAGCTTCTTGTAGAAGTTATCTGGAAATTAGGAATAATGTGTCATCAGTACACGAAGACTCCCACTTCTACCCTTTCAATCAAATTCAGGTGAAGCTGTGGAACTGGCTGCAACTGGTCATGGACTGGATGGAGGCCAGTTAACGGAAGCTTGGTCCATATTAAGGCAGAGGAGCTTTTGGTGCGTGATCTGTTTGGTGGTGGTATTTAGTTCTGGGTAGGGTTGAACTTTCTTTGAAAGATCATGTCTACAGTTTGAAGTGCTGTTAGATCTAGCCCTATCTGTAGAGGCTCCAGCTAGTGCAAGAGCCGTGATCCCTCATAGACAGAGCTAGCCTGGCCACACCTGTACTCATTGGTAACATCTCACTCAGAGAGGTTCACAGAGAGATCCACCTGGCACTATCTCTATCCTCTTTTCAGTGCCCAGTGAACACTTTTGTTATTTGCCCAGGCCTTGCCCTTTGCGTTTGTGACTTTATGCTGGGTTTTTCTGTCTCCCATGACTTGTTTTTTTTTGGTATGCTTTTAAAAATGCATTTGTATTCTTGTACTTTTATGCTTTGTTTGCAAACTGTGAGCCATGGCAGATAAGTGGCTAACAGATGTCCTAAATAAAAATAAATGAAATGATAAAAAAGGAAGTCTCCCTCCTGCGATCTTGTCATGCACCCCGTCAGATTTAAACTTGGAGCCAAACAACTGCTCTGTGGAAAACCCTTTGGGACGGTTAAAGAGAAGGGCATTAGGTCCACCTTGCATGCAGAAGGTCCCTGGCTCCATCCCCAACATCTCCAGGTGGGGCTGGAAGAGACTCCTGCCTGAAACCAGAGAACTGTTGCCAGTCAGTGAAGACAATAAGGAGCTAGATAGAGCCAGGGTTTGACTCAGTATAAGACAACTTACCATGTACCTCTGGTTTGAACTCTTAACTTTGTACTCCACTCCATACTCATTTTTGCTTTTGCCTTTTTTGTGTGGGGAAGAGGGAGGGTAATTCATTTCAGCTATGAAATTTAAGTCAGACATAGAAACCAGCCTGTGTATGTATGGAGGGGGGTAGTCTGGAGGTACTAAGTTTATCTGTTAAGCAATATCAGCTTTGGCATAGGCCAAGGAAATGTGTCTTTAAATCTTCTGATGGGACCTCAGTTAAAAGTGATTGTGACTCAGCTGAGCAACCTCAACAAGCCTCTGGCTGGCAAGGAGACACTCCCTGGAGCCTGATGGGATCCTCTTTGGGCTTTAGGGTGGGTTCTCCTCATAAACCACTAGGGCTCTCCAGGGTGTTCCCCATTATACACGATTTCACGTATGCATGTAGGGGCCTGGAATGGAACTCCTGTGGTGAGTTCCAGCACATTTTCTTCTAGAAAGAAAGCCCTGTGTAACTCTCTCACCTGTAGTGAAGATGGTAGAGGTGAATCCACTCCTCACAGCATCCTGGGCTGCTTGCAGGCGCACTGTGTATTCTGTGTTTTCCGAAAGCCCTTCCAGGCGGATCCAGGTGTCTTCTGCATCCACAATCAATTCCTGTGCTCAGTCACGAAAAGAGATGGAAAATCAGAGATGAGCAGGAGAGATTTGTGGGGCTTACGTACATGGCTGGCCCAAGACATTTTGGCACCTGAGGCAGAACCCAAAATGGTGCCCGCCTGCCTGCCAGAGAAGAAGGGGTGAGGAAAGAACTATATCAGGAACAAGGGGAGGGGGTGGAAAGAAAGATCTACATCAGGATCTGCTGCCCCTGTGGACCCTGCTGCCTTAGGTGGTCACCTCACTTTGCCTCATGGGTGGGCCTGCCCTGCTCAGGTATGTAATACAGAAGTGGAACCTGGAGGCATTTAGAGGATCAGTATTCTGGTCTTGAACTTAAAACCTGAGGGGTGTCAGGTTGTGTGAAAGCAGTCCTTCACATCTGGAAAGAGGCTGGAAGTAAATTGTGAGAATTGGAATACTGCTTAGGCGCTTCCCTTGTGAATGTCTAGCAGGAAGACCAAGGGTTAAACACCCCCTTCCCGTCCTGCCATTCTCCTGTGCAAGTGCCCTTGTCCCCAAATTTATGTCGCAAGAGAAACACAGGAGTGGGAGCCTCATGTTTCCCTTGCAATGTTGGCTTCTGCCCCCAGCTAATGGGGGGTGTTAATTCCATCACTTCAGTTATGTCTGAACATATCACACAAATCATTCCCACAAGATGTTCTCGGACACAGGAGAGGCCTGCAGGAGTGATATGGGGTTGTGGGGCCCCAATGAATTTTCCACATGATGAGGTTTGTGTGGTAAAACTACTCTTGTTCCCCATTTGCAGCACACAGTCCATCTTCCAGCTTGTCTTGCGAATTTGCTTTATTTCGTTTATTTATGGCAAAATGCAATATGTCATCCAGATAGTGCACACAAAGCCTTTTCAAATGCAGCGCTTACAACGGTGACATTAAATGTGCCATAGCTGATGCAATTTTGGATAAGAGGATGACTCTATTCCTCTCCACACCTTGCCGTTTAGCTGCAGAAATGGTATCCCATGAAGTTTCATGACTTTCTCAATTGCTTGTTTTGTGTCCTCCTTGTGTGAGTGAAGGCCACAAATCATGGCATTAGAAATGGCAGGCAAGGACAAGGGTAGCCCCTCCCCTCCAAGAACCCACTTGTTACATGCAGGCAGAGATCAGGTGCTGTTGCTGGCAAAACACCTATTGCCTGATTATTATACAATGGCTCAAACAGGGGTGGGAGATGCTTTGAGTAACTATGTGAGAAAATTGTGGCTCGTGCTAGGGAAGACTGCTGGCCAGTTTTACTTGTATGCTATTTCTTTCCATTAGTTTAATGTTATCCCATGAGTATTTATTGCATGCTATGCAAATACTGTGCTGAAATGGTAACACAGCAGAGCTACTGTAACATCAAACAAAGGACCTGAAACAGAGAAAAAATGGCTTCCAAAGCAGTGACAAAAGGGAGGGGAAGTGACTATGAAAACTGCAAAAAACAAAAAACAAAAAACAGAACAAAATATGGATTGAGGGGTTTTTTTGGGGGGGGGTAGTGTGGTGGTGGATGGGAATGAAATCACAACCTTCAGGCAAAAACAACCCCCCCTGCACACCTGGAGATCATCTGGCTCCACCCTGGCAATGAGAGACTTATTGGAAGAAAGGACCCACCTTTCGGCTCCCATCAGGTGACCGGTAAGTCATGATGTAGTTCTCAATCTCAGCCATAGGAGGCAACCACGAAAGCAGGGCACTTCGGCGAGTCACTTCACTTGCAGTCAAATTTGAAGGAGGATCCAAAACTGTTGGCAAATGAATGAGAGTAGGGCAATAATTTTGTTGCAGGGTTTTGTGATATGCAAGCTACAGTTTGAATACTCAAGGATATAAAAATCCTTCATCTGGAAGTTTGTTTCCTATATCCCACAGGAAAACAAGCTGTCAATTGTTTATGAATGTTATTTCCTGGCAGTGAGAATTAATAGGCTATACTTACGAGTTGTAAAGTTGGTGAAGATGGTTCTGCTGGTGACGGGCCCATTCGTGGCATACATAGTGACGCCGTAGCTCGTACTGGGCAGCAAACTGATGAGTTGGTACTCCTGGTTGGTCCCGTCCACTAAAATGGTTTCTCCGGCAACTGAAATCAGGGGATGGATTGTACAGAACATGAGGCTTTTGAAATGACAGCCTTCTAGTGTGAGATCCAACTCAAATAAAATAGGCTTTACGGTCAGATAGCCATGGGGACAAGGAGGAGCCTGAGAGTGGACTTACAAAATTGGTGTCCAGATAGTGACAATAATATACTTTCAAAAATGTATAATCTCCTATTAGAATGGAATACAAAAGACGAACTTATAAAAGAGGCTATGATAAAATGGGCTATTGATCTAGGACACAACATAGACTATGATGTATGGGCCAAACTCTGGAATGAGAGTATAAAATTCACCGCTTGTTCTGCCTTAAAAGAGAATGTTATGAAGATGGTCTATCGTTGGTATCTTACTCCCACCAAATTGGCAAAAATGTACAGAACTAGTAGTAAAACTTGCTGGAAATGCAAGGAAAAGGATGGCGACTTCTTTCATATGTGGTGGTCATGTAATAAATTAAAAGAGTTCTGGGAATCAATTTATAACGAGTTAAAAAAGATGTTTAAGTATAGCTTTCCCAAAAAGCCGGAAGAATTCTTGCTAGGTTTGGTGGGAGAAGATATTAAGAAGACTGATCAAAGATTATATTTGTACGCAACAACAGCAGCTAGAGTTCTGATAGCTCAAAAGTGGAAGCAACAGGAGATGCCGACAATAGGAGAATGGCAGATAAAGCTGGTTGAATACGCTGAGATGGCTAAATTGACACACAGAATTCGCAATCAGGAGGAGACAAAGTACCAAAAAGAATGGTGTAAATTTTTGATCTATATAAGTGAGAACTGTGCAAATTTGAAAACTTTGGCAGGATTGAAGTAAATCTTATGTCATGTTGTAATATCTAATCAAAGAAACTGTGAACTATAGAATAGAATAGGAAAACTGATGGAAGGGAAGGACGGAAGTCAACAGCTCTACGGAGCATAAAGTAGGATATATGTAATAAGATTTGATGTTTTACTGGTGTTGGTGGGTGATCTTAAATCTCAATAAAAATTATTAAAAAAAAAAAGAAATCAGGGGATGGATTGTACAGAACATGCGGCTTTTGAAATGACAGCCTTCTAGTGTGAGATCCAACTCAAATAAAATAGGCTTTATGGTCAGATAGCCATGGGGACAAGGAGGAGCCTGAGAGTGGACTTACAAAATTGGTGTCCAGATAGTGACAATAAGTTGGCAGTTGCCCCTGCTGGAGAATCCAAACTTGCCAGTGGTTAAGCCTCCAGGCAGGTCATAGCCTATGCAAATATGTCAAGTCTTAAAAATCAGGACTATTGGATACTTGCTGGAACTTGTGGATGGACCACTCATAAGACTGAGATTAATGTGGAGAACAATTAGGTTGTCAGGACTGGGAGCTATGCCAAGGTGAAAGGAAACATCACTTCATGGTGGGGGAAAATTGATTGTGTGAATCCATCCTACTACAGGAGGAATGTTACACTGGAAGTAGAGAATGTTGCAGAAGGACAGCAAAAACTCTGGACACTTTGGTCTAGAAGGTGCCAACTTGGCATCTAAGTGTGCCTGTCAATACCTTCTATAGTGCTTGTGAAAGTTTTCAGTAAATATCCCCTCAAAAATGCATGATCCACAAGATTAGTTCCCATTTGCACTGGCTCACCCTCTCCTACACTGAACGTGCATTGGATTCCAAGGTTAAACATCTCTTTTGGAATTGGCAGCCATTTTGTCTTGTGCTACATATCCCACAGCAGCCATTTTGTGACTGAAACCAACGTTTTCTCAAAATCCCAAAAGTTCCTGCTGGTCCCAAAAGTCTTGTGATCCCTACTCTGGTCTTCCTGGACCACTGCATTTTGTGCCAGGAACTGTGAGAAGGGGTGGTGATGACTTGCAAAGTTCTTCATTCCAAAGAATTCCCTCACCACCTTGATGGTCAAGGCTGGTGTTCTGGAAGCAAAGCATGGGCCAGGTGGTTGGACCAGGCAGGGACACTCTAAGTGCAACTGACCTTCACTCAGGGGTGTAGCAAGGGGGGTGCAGTGGGGGCAGTCTGCCCTGGGTGTCACCACTGAGGGGGGTGACAAAATGCTGGGCGGCACTCACCCGACGGCATGTGTGTCTCCTGGGAGTGATATGGTGGCTTGGGCGCCAGCAGGCTCCGCGCTGCCCAAACAATCCTCCCGTTGCCTACCCCCCAGCTGTAGGGCAGCTGAGTGGGAGGAGGCAGGCAGATTCAGGAGGCCCCATGGTGCCCCCGTGGGTGGCTGGCCCCACCCCCATGGGCCCCACGCCAGGCACCCAATCAACTTGCTCCGCTGCTGCCTTCACTCAGACAATACTCAAGACTGAGGAGCCAGGCCAGAGTCTGACTTTCAAGGCCCAGATGAAATCCCATGGGCCCCTGTGTTATCAGCTGAACTACGGTCGCATCCTCTAGCACCAGCACAGTGCCCTAGAGAGTAAATTGGCTGCCAGGACCCTCCGTTTGAGACACACATACCCGTCCCCTGCTTCTTCACACCAACCTCCTCTACCTGCCTCTTTCGAATTCTCCCAGCCTGTCACAGGGTGCTCCCTCCATGCCCCACACAGTCCTGCATACCAGACACAGACATACCTGTGTCATGTGTGAGGACAATGACATAATTCTCAACTTCAGCCATGGGCGGGTCCCACTTCAGCAGGGTCTCCGTTGGGGTGATGTTCGTGGCAGTCAAGCTCTCTGGATTATCCATGGCTGCATAACAAAAAGGCAAGGTAAGGGAGTCAACACAGAAGTTGTTTCTTTGCTTCAGGCATCAGCCATGACAAGGACCTGGAAGCAGCTTAAAGTCCAAAAACCATGGAGCAAAAATGTAAGGCAACTAGAAGGAACTACATAGCAGCCATATGCTCATGATTCAGCAGCAAGCACTGTATCCAAACCACAAGTCATTGCATGTGAAGCAAAGCAAGCGCCCAAAGGAAAACCGTGTCATGGCTCTGCAGCCTGAAGTTGAGGCCTGACTGAGATGTGATGGGACAGCCAGTTTATTTTTCATAGATCAGTCCCACTCACACACAAAGTGGGGAGTGGGGTCTGAATTTGACACCAAAAGTAGCTAATGAGTTAGAGGGGGTGAATCTTCCCCATCTGGCCTCTCCATCCCTCCTTCGCTTCACTGACATTTCTTGTGGCCCAGCTCTGGTTCTGGGAGTGAGCTGGGATGGAGAGAAAGGTGCTTGGAGCCATGGAGAAGCAAGAGGCGCGTCCATTCAAATGTTAAAAACGGACTCCCTCTGCCCTTTATATGTGAACGAGGCATGCAAGCAAACATAGGAAAATGTCTGCCCCATTGCGTCTAGGCTGGCTCTTCTTTATTTTCATTCCTCCGTAGGAAGTCCCCTTTCTATTGATCTAACAGTAGTCGTGATCTTTTGGTATCTTGGAATGGAAGTGCCTTTGCAGAGGTACAGTGGTGCCTCGCAAGACGAAATTAATCCGTTCCGCGAGTCTCTTCGTCTTGCGGTTTTTTCGTCTTGCGAAGCACGGCTATTAGCGGCTTAGCGGCTATTAACGGCTTAGCGGCTTAGCGGCTTTAAGAAAAAGGAAACAAACTCGCAAGACGTTTCGTCTTGCGAAGCAAGCCCATAGGGAAATTCGTCTTGCGGAAACGACTCAAAAAACGGAAAACTCTTTCGTCTAGCCAGCTTTTCGTCTTGCGAGGCATTCGTCTTGCGGGGCACCACTGTACAATTTCAGAGATAACACAGCAAAGCATATAATGGCATATGATGTTTTCAACTGCCTCCTCCTCACAAAACCAATGGCATGAGATGAATGGCACATTATGATACACCACCAACCCAAAATTGCAGAAGGTATTTGCAAGGTAAGGGCATTAAGAAAAAATGGACTCTGTTTAGTGTACTACCTGCCATGGGTGTAGCCAGGATTTTTGTTGGGGGGGGGCAGGACTTAGGGAGGGCAGAACCGATGTGATTGGTTAGTTAGTTAAGTATTTATATTTTTTTAATTGATCTAGGGGGCACCTGCCCCCCTGCCCCCCGACTATGTCCATGCTACCTGTTGCCCCCATTATTACAGTTCTCTCAGCAGATTCAGTTTTGAGCTTAACAAGCATTTCTGTGATAATGCATTACTTGTGAAAGTATGAGAAGTGAATACTGTGCACTCCCAGTTGTTCATTGGCAGCCACCATTTTACCTGGCGCCCACCTAACATTATTAATTACATTTATATAATGCCCTATTATCCAAATATCACAGGATGGTTTACAACATAAAAATAGAAAACAGGTTGTTTAATCAGCCGAAGGCCTGGTTACAGAGCAACGTTTTCGCTTGCTGCCTAAAGATATGTACCGAAGGTGCCAAATTCCTGAAGGAAGCTCTTGCCACCAGCCATTGATGTTTCTTTATCCTAATGCCACCTGCATCCACAAGTAAACTCTGGACCCTTCTGTGTAACCCCCAAAAGGCATTCCATACCTGTATACAGGGTGTGTGAGAGAGGCTCACTTTCTTCTCTGCTTCGGACACTCTTCAAGCTGATCTCATACTCCGTGGCAGACTGCAGGTGGCTGAGCGTGTATTCAGTAACACCTTTGGCAATAACTAGGCTGTCCACTCGTCCTGTTCGGATGGAGAAAATGGATCCATTACCACTAGCAAATCCAGGTGCACTAAAAACAGGCTAACAACAGCCAGGTGTCAGCCCACAGACCTTCCAGCCTTGATTGCCACAGAAGTCGCCAGAAGAGCACATCCTCTGGCTCAGGCTTCCCCAGCCTCGGCCCTCCAGATGTTTTGAGACTACAATTCCCATCATCCCCGACCACTGGTCCTGCTAGCTAGGGATCATGGGAGTTGTAGGCCAAAAACATCTGGAGGGCCGAAGTTGAGGAAGCCTGCTCTGGCTGCTTCTCTCTTTTGTTTGTCCACATGGCTATCTGAGAGGTGGCCAAATGGAACTCCATGGAGCCCTTAGACTCTGGAGGAAAGATGCACATCTTGATCAAAAGTTGGTCCAGTGCCAAGTGTGGTCAGAAGAGCTGCCCTAGCCAGGGCCAGCTCTGGAGAAGTAAAGCTGTGAACCGGACTGGCAGAGGACCCAACAGGGCCACCTCTCTCACTCAGACTGCATACCTCCCACTCCCACATTCAGGGTGCCCTCCCTGAATCCTGATGCCACTACCCAAAGGTTGAAAGACATGCACCAAACCAGCGTTGCTAAATCATCTGCAACTGAGTGTGGCTCAAGACTGCAAGCAATAAGAAACTACACAGTATTTAACTGGAAGCAGGAGAGAATAGCCAAAGAGATTAGTTCAACCATGGCCTCTTCTTCTATCAGCTAAAGGCATTTGGGGGTGGGGGGAAGGATCAGTTCATAGCAAAATAAATAATTCTGGGTATATTGTATTGTTCTAAATAGTTTAGCTATTTTTTTTTTTATAGCTCAGAGATCACCTCAGGGTTTCTGCATATGTAGGTTCAAATAATGCAGACACTCATCTTTGCCATTAAAAAAGGTGCAAATAGTGTACTAAATTTCTATGTGATTAATTTAAGAATCTTATAGTAAAGAAAATTAAAGATAGTAAATAATATTTAATGTGTGAGATATATACACACTAGAAAAATATATACATCTATCAAAGCTGAGAACAGCGTCATATGGGTGAAAAATAATCACATGGCATTATATTAGTATCACAGAACCATAAAATTACAGAGTTGAAAGGGACTCTGTAATTTATGACCCATCTCTGTATAATAATGTCGTCTTGTTGGTTGTTTAAAGTTTGTCTCCAATAAGTTAATTTGTTCATTGAGGCAATTTCCCATATTTTCTGTAACCATTCTTCGAAAGATGGAGTTCTTTTCTCTTTGCAAAATTGAGGAAGCATAACTTTACCCCCATTAACAAACTTGCAGCTAATTGCATATCAATAAGTGCTGCTTCTGAGTTTAACATACACAGACCCTTAGGGGGTCTTTGAAATATTATAACCTGTAATTTTCTGTTCTAAAATATTTGGGCAACCTAATGAAGGGGGTGGGGAAAGCCGCTCACCTTTATTTCTGCTTTGCATTCCATTCCTTCAACACCTCAAACAGACTTGTGACTTGAGTGTGTGGCACAGCAGTAATAAATCCCTTGCTCTAGAAAACTGTCTACTCTGGTTTTTGAGGATGAGAATATTTAAATTGCGGAAGGAGCCCCACACCCCACTCAGTTCATTCTCTTTTGCAAATGCACAGCTTTCCTTGAAAAATACAGGAGCTTCCACAACACTCCCCTTGCTGAGGGAGACATACTGTAGGTGTCAGCAAACATGTAGAAGTAACACATACTGTACACAGATCCTCAGATACATGTTTACACCATGCAATGCACAAAGCACCTTTTGGATCCAAAAAGCGCAGGCTAATAGTATCAAATGCACAGTGTATTATTTCTAGAAAATGTGTATTTCAAAGTAATTACCAAAAGTCCTTTGGTTTGTAAGTCACTAGTTTGAGGTGCTTGTCAAATGCAAATGAAGTTTCCTCACCAAAACCTTTAGCCTTCTTTTATTTTAATGACCTATCTCTGTCTTTGAAGTGATGAATTCTGAAAGCCTGGACTCTTTAATCTTGTGGAACCCAGCTGAAGAAGTTTTTCAGGCTGCAACCGTATGCACACTTACCTGGAGGTCAGCCCTATCAAACATACAGGGTCTTACTTCTGAGTAAACGGACACAGGATTGTACAGTTAGCTTCAAAGGAAACACACACATGCTAAGCTTTCCAGAGAGCAATGGGTTTATGGGAGAGTTCTGTAGTTGTGGGAGGGGGTCAGGCAAAGGTTACACCCTCCTCACACACGCCTTCTCAGGGACCTCCTAACTGGGAGCAGATGAAACAAGATGGGAGGAGGCAAATGAACCAACTAGGGTAGGGTTTGGTCAGAACACACAAGACCCTGTAAGAAAGCAGGCACCCCAAAACACCCAGGTGAGCTGTTTCCACAGACTCCTGGGAGTGTTACCTTGGGCAGATTTGTAGGCTATCCTATAGTGGTCAAAAGATGCAATAGGAGGAGCCCAGTGGACTGTCACAGAATCTGTAGTCACGTTGTCAATGGTCAGGTTCCTTGGGGGATCAATCCCTTAACGAAGCAAAGTAAAGAATAAAAGCTGGCAAACATTTGCACATTGCACAATTCCCAACCGGAAATGCATCACTTCTGTTGATAACTCATGCTGATAACTGTGGCGACTCTTCTTAATAGCACAGTTACTTATTGTCTAATTCACACACTTAACAATTGCTTTTTCAACATAACACTACACTTGAAAGAAATATTATTTTCTCGCTTTTCGCAAAATTAATTTATTCTACTGTATCTTGTCCTGCACAACCTTCTGAAACAGGGTGTGGCTTTTAAAAAAAAACTTTTATGATGTCAGGGCCCTGGGGAAAGTTGCACTAGGTGTTGTGAAGAGGGAGTGACAGTTTGACAGGGAGCTGCCATTTTTGTCAGTAAAGCCATGTTTTATATGATATATAGTTTTGGCCAGAGGTCATCTTAGTAGGTGTTTGATTGAGCACAGAAATATATAGCCAAAAAAAGACCATATTTGATAGTAAGGTTATGGTGGTGGAGAAGACACCTTTTGATGTACCAAAGTCTCAAAAGAGAGTGGGAAAAGGCAGACAGAGTACCACTGATCACTGTCACTTTCCAACAGTGATATAGCTTTTTCTCTAAAAGTCTAACTTTTTTTTTTTAAAAAAAGCTAATCCCTTAGCTGTCACTGCTAAGGAGAAGACCTTAACATGTGCACCAAAGCATAATTGTGTGTGTATTGGCAGAGGCCTTATAGCAATGGCTCATTTGTCATAGTAATTGGCAAGGTAGTTAACACGATTATACATTTCATTCCTCATTTAAGGAGTTGATCTTGATGCCCGTGGGAACGCTGATTAGGAGAAATATTCAGCAATGGATCTAAGGGACATCTGAGAGAGACAGTGGTTCACCACTTGCATCCTCTTTCGAATGCCCTCCCCATGGAGGCCTGCCTGGAGACATCATCAGTATCATTTAGGTGACAGAAAACGTTTGTGTTTTCTCACAACTTTAGGAACTGCAAACAGAAGCATTTTAATGCAGAGTAGTTTTATTTTACTGTCTTTATTTATCATAGAATCATAGAGTTGGAAGAGACCACAAGGGCCATCGAGTCCAACCCCCTGCCAAGCAGGAAACACCATCAGAGCACTCCTGACATATGGTTGTCAAGCCTCTGCTTAAAGACCTCCAAAGAAGGAGACTCCACCACACTCCTTGGCAGCAAATTCCACTGTCAAACAGCTCTTACTGTCAGGAAGTTCTTCCTAATGTTTAGGTGGAATCTTCTTTCTTGTAGTTTGGATCCATTGCTCCGTGTCCGCTTCTCTGGAGCAGCAGAAAACAACCTTTCTCCCTCTTCTATGTGACTTTAATTTATTTAATAAAAATTATAGACCTTTTGATTGTAATAAAACCTCTTAAGTGGTTTACAAAAAAACAGGTTGCTGCTGCTTTTGTTTGTTTTAATTTGCTGTCTGTGTTGTTAATAATAATGATGATGATGTACTCTTTTGCTTCTTCAATTTTATTGCTGGTGCAGGATATCAATTATGTAAATAAATGAACAAATAATCAAGACCCAGAAAAACAGCGAAAGAGCCCACAACAAATTCATGAAATCTTCTTCAGTACCCCATCACTTAATATTCTGGTTGTGGGAGCGTAAGATTCTTTGGCGTTACAGCCACAGCTGCCTGCTTCTGCCTTCAACTCTACCAAGTACAAGATTGCTACAGACATCAGTCTTCCTGCACCATTCAAGAGCCGACACCTCTCAGCTGCTGTGTGTGTGAGGGGGATACTGTAGTGTGAACCCCATATGTTCTCTGAAGTGGGACAGCCCAGATGCAGGTTCTTCCACATACACTTCAGCTGGAACAATGTGTGCAGCTTTTTGAAGGGAATTTCAGAATGAACATGCAGTGAGCAAATCTGGTTTCTTGACTGCTGGGTGGATTTTGAGGTTAACTGAGCATACATGTATAATTCCTTTGTATTGCCTTTGGAATCAGTTGTGGTCTCAAAACCCAGCTCTGAGACTACAGGAGGATGAATGTGAAGATTGCTGTTACAGCAACCCAGGGTAAATTAGCAGGCATGGGGAGGGTGGGGGAAAGGAGATTTGGGATCTGCTGTAGCGTTTGACAGTTATGTGGGCATAGGCATCATCTCCTTGCATTGGAAGAGGGAGAGGTGAAGCTAAGAGCCCTTTTTGTCCCTTGTGCGGCCCAACTGAAGCAAGACACTACTTGTGGCAAAAGCAGTAGGAGTGTTTGATGTGCCTGGGCCGGAACTGGAGGTCTGTAATCCTCTTCCGAGCTGAGTTCTTCAAGGTTAGCAGACATGGCCACAGCCAGGCAAGAGCTGGCAGTGAGTTTTAGACCCAGGTCTCACCTGCTCTCTAGCTCAGTGTTTCCTACACTTCTAACAGCTGAGGCACACTATTTTTCTGAATTAAAATTAATTCCTTCCCACCCTCCTGCCCCGCTAGGACTCTTGTGAAATCACTGGAGTAAGAATCACTTCCCTCAGATGAGTCCACACCATTGCATTTCGGCATATGTCACTATTCCGGGAATATCTCCTGAACGGAAGGAAGACCCTGGCCCCAAACTGTGACCTGTGCAGAGGTTACTCTGGTGGCCTCCTGTGTGTTTGGTGTTTTGGGCTTACAGGAACCAATTATTTAATTAACTTAGTACAACCCACTGTAACCAACATTTTTCTGAGGCAAACCTCCCACTGTTTGCCTTTTCTGGGGCAAACCATCGTCTCCATCCTTTTTGTTTCCCTGTTCTCGGCTTCCCTGGGTCTCTTCTCTGCTTCCTTTATTCACCCCACGCCCCATTGCAACTCACCAAACCCAGGACCTACCCATTCCATTTCTCGTTTGGCCAACAGAGGAGAGCAGGGTGGGGACTAACCATGTATGCTGCATTTTCCAGACAGGGATATTCAAAATGGTGGGCATGCTACCATAAGATTCATGTGTGTGCATTAAGATGGGCTGTATTCACACTGATGCTCAGAGATTGTTGAGGAGGAAAGCTGAAACCTTATGAATGGCAACCCTAGCAATCATTTGAACATTTTTTTAAAGACACATTCACAAAACCTTGGCCTAAGGCAAGATGGGGGAAAAATACAGTAGGTAGAGTGATTTACAATGAAGAGGATGAAGGAAACTGGAACTGTCACTGATTCATAGCGATAGTTGGGACGTGTGTCATTTTGGCTTGAGTTAAATGTGAATTCTAAGACTCAGCTCTGACTTTGATGGTTGGCTCCACTCTGTTTTCTGTTTTTAATTTTGCAACCCATTCAAGCACAAAGGATCTTCCTCGGAAGTGGACAAGACATAGACATTAAACTGCAACGGAAAGAACACTGCTACTGTTACCTGTTTTGATGGAGCCCATGATGGGCTCAGAGCTAACAAGGCCATGCACAGCCACCAAGGACACAACATACTCTGTGGATGGCTGCAGGCCAAACAAGGCAGCATGTCTCTTGGTCGGGTCTAGTATCACTTGCTTGGTTTCCTCTTTGTCCTTGGGGCTGTAGTTCAGTATCAGCCTATCTGCTGGAGGAGAGGGGTCACTCCAAGTGATGTTCACACTGGAGGAAGTCACATGAGAAAAGTGAAGCTGTGTGATTGGCCGGAACCCTGAAAACAAGAATGCAGAAGGAAATGGCAGCCTGGGTCTTATTTAGCCAGGAAACATGCAAAATGATGAAAAAGATGAGTACATCTGAGCATGTACAAAAGGACCAAAGGGTAAGGCTGTATACACACTAAGCCATTTGTAGCAGAAAAACATAGTGCTTATCAATCCAGAATAGATGCTGCTTCCAAACTAGATTGATTCTATATCCTGTCATTCACAAGAATGGGTGTGGCTACATGATGCACATTTGAAAACTCTCCCCTTGATTAGGTTATCCATGCCTTCCCCTCCCTGCACATACCCCAGGTGAATGGAGAGGAAAGCAATGGTTGCAATCTTGGTATATGCCCACCCACAATGCCATTGGGCGGGTGTGGATACCCCCCGCCCAATAGCTGGGACCACTGTACATCTGTTTTTAAATGGACACACTGCAGAGTATTGCAGAATCCATCTGTGACCAGCTTTTATTTTCAGAATGAAACCAGTCTCTCAGAAGCACTTTTCATGGGCAAAAAAATTGCAGTGGATCTAGACCATGCAGGAAAAAAAGTACTCAAGTCTCCATTGATTCAATAAAATACATAGTCCCAGTCTTCTGTAATGAGGGTAAAGATTATCCATTTTAGAAATGCGTTTTCTGAGCTGTCTTGAGTTTTAGGCTTCCCCCCTTTAGGAATTAATCACTGGGTGCAGTTTAAATGTTCTGCATTTGACCGCTGCCCCAAAAGGTGAGGTCAAGGTAGGGTGTAAATCTGAGGAAGGGGGAACAGGAAAAATGGGGCAACAGAAAGAGGGCGTGCGAAGGCTCTTGCAAACATGCACGTCCGTTACCTGGGCTACTTCTGCACGTAGCATTTTGGAAATGATATACCCATCACATTAGGCTCAAGCTAGATGTGCCAGGAGACATCTGTTTTATTTTATTAATTAGCGGTGCCACACAGTTATTTTGAAAATGAGGGAACCGGCACTCTGGGAGAAGTTTAACACTTTCCTCCCTTGCTTTCCTCCCCACCTCAAACCCCCTCCTGCTATTAGCAGAAGAAGACATGCTGAACCTCTCTCCCCACCAACACCATGGCTTAGACACTCTCTCACAGAGCACCACATCCCCAACCTTCAAAGCAGCTAAGTGGGGCTGCAATTGGTAAAAGAAAGGGCTTGTCAATGGTGTATCTAGCAGTAGTCAACCAGCAGACAGTAGTAACAGACCCTCAGAAAACCTCAGGTGACTCTCAGTACCTGTGAAGGCATCCACTGTGCTCTCCAGGCTCTGCTGACGGCCTCTTTCAGCAATGACAGAGATTGTGTATTCAGTCCCAGGTTCCAAGTCTGATAGTGTAAGCTCAGACTTGTCTTTGGCAACAGTAACCTCAGATGCCATTCCTGAAGCGGGGATGAAGATGACCCGGTAGTGATCAATGGGACCCTTGGCTTTGGTCCAGGACACAGAGATGGATGACTCTGTGGAAGCTGTCACTATGAGGTCGTGAGGACTGTCGAGCTCTGCAGCAGGAGGAGATTTAAAAAGGCAGCCTATTAACAGCTTGGAATGCACAGGTCTGAGTTTAGATTTTTACACTCCCAAGCACCAGTTTAGCTAATGCATTTTGGATTAGTTGTTGTTTCCGAGTCACCTTCAAAGGTAGTCCCATGTAGAGAGCATTTCAGTAGTCCAAGTGGGAGATAACCAGAGCATGCACCACTCTAGCGAGACAGTCTGTGGGCAGGCAGGACAAGGGCTTTCACAAATACAACAGGGCTTCCTCCGCAACAAAGGTGGTTCAGAATATTTTCACACCAATAGCACTTCTGTCCCCCAGTAGTGAATAACCATGAAATAAATAACTGACAATTCATTGTCTCTTAACAGTGTCCCAAAAATTCTTCCTGGGCCTAGGACAGGCCAGAGGCATCTAATCATAGTGGCGAAGGGGGGGGGGCGTTGCCTTGCCAGTGCTACTGAGTTTCAGTTGAATTTGATAGAGATGACATGGCTTGGCTAGTTTGAACCTCTCTATGTGCAATGACGTAAGCAGATGAAAACTTCATTGGCCTTGAAGCCAGTGGGTCCTCCCTCAGAGGATCATCACATAGCCCTGTGCAAGCATGAGGCTTCTCTGGGGGTGTGGGGGGGTGTGAACTAGACTCTATTGTCTCCTTTAGCAATCTTTCTTCTTCCTTGACTATGGTGTGGAACTGCAGTATAGAACTGAGCTGGGCTCACGAAAGTAAAGGTAAAGGTAAAGGGACCCCTGACCATTAGGTCCAGTCGCAGATGACTCTGGGGTTGCGGTGCTCATCTCGCTTTACTGGCTGAGGGAGCCGGCGTACAGCTTCCGGGTCATGTGGCCAGCATGACTAAGCCACTTCTGGAGAAACCAGAGCAGCGCATGGAAATGCCGTTTACCTTCCCGCTGCAGCGATACCTATTTATCTACTTGCACTTTGACGTGCTTTTGAACTGCTAGGTAGGCAGGAGCAGGGACCGAGCAACGGGAGCTCACCCCATCGTGGGGATTTGAACCGCCAACCTTCTGATCGGCAAGCCCTAGACTCTGTGGTTTAGACCACAGCACCACCCTAAAAATACAGATCCAGAATCCTTAGCGGTGCCAGCACACAATCAGAGTGGTCACTGAAAGTTATTATGATGAAGAAATGGATTTTGGTAGTGTTGCTGGAGCAATGTGATCTATGAATCAATACCCTAGAAATTCTAAGGCTGCCTTTGATATTTGCAGTTGTAATCGCTGTACAAATATCACATAAAGGCAAAAGCTGTTTGCATTTGCATTGAAATGCTGGCTATAAATACTTCCCCTTGTGCAAAATGCCAGCTTGCTTATGTGTCTATAAAAACTGACAGTCTCTCTCTCTCTCTCTCTCTCTCTCTCTCTCTCTCTCTCGTAATGTTGGGATAATCTTTTGAACCATATTCTCCCCCCCCCCCCGGTTTATGTCCCTTGGCTGCTCACTCCAAGACACAAGGAAAAGCGTTCTTAATAAGAGCCCCCTCATCAGTGTGAAGAAGAACAGAGATTTTGGCTTCAGCTGCTAATTCTTGTTTGCCTCTATTCTCTCACAGGAACAAACAAATGTGGGGCAAAAGAAGAGAACATTGACAGAGCTTCCGACAGGGAGAGGAAGGGTAAAGGAGCACTTTGCTTGTGACTCTGCATGCACAGCCAGTGTTGCAAACATTCAAATCATTGCTCAATTCAGAATAGGACTCCTGCTAGAAATCATTTGCCAACCAGATCCCTGGAGCAGAAGTAACCAACTGAGGCTTGCAAAGGCATTTCACCTGAATCCTAGGCAGGACCTCCCAAATTTGAACAAAAGGTGACCGCCAGGGATGTGGAGGTTACCACAGAGTGTGGCAGAGTGACATGTCTCAGTACAATCAGCTCCTTCTTTTAGACCTCCTCCACACCCTGATAATCTGCTTGGTGAAATTACTGCATGAATTCCAACTGGCAAAGTACTGCAGAATGAATTAACTGAGGGTCACTTAACCATGTTCTGGAGCCCCTAAGTATGGCTGAGGATTCAAGAGATGGGCAGAACCCACTAGTTTTGCTCTGTAATGATTTTTTTAATTTAAAACAAGTCTGTGTGTCACTCACCAGTCCTTGCATTCATGGTAGCTGGAACACTTTGCTTGCCATCCATTACAGCTGAAATCCCAACTCCATATTCTGTCCCTGGCACCAAATCTGCATGTGGATACACAAGAATGAACAGATTAAGCAATGAATTGTGGTTTCTTCTTGTCTGACTTATGGATGGGTGAATCTGGCAATTTTCTTTCTCATTTTCTCCATCTTAAGTTCAGTTCTCCACATTTCCATATCAGTTTGCATTTTTTTAAAAAAGTTCTCCTGAAGTTTCACCAGCATTGTAGTGCAAATGTTTTCATGCAATTTTGCATAATGTGCACATTTTTGCAAAGCAATTCCCCCTAATGCAACACATTTTTGTATGTTATTTTTATCAATATATGCATCTCTGTACATACTTTACCCCAGTATATGCATTTTTGTCCTCAGTACTCGGCTGGAAAACTGCATTGCAAAATTCAAGGAAATTTGGCTTTTGAAGGATGGCTGCGTTCAGTTCATGTTTTTTCTTCACAAAGTGCCTATTATTGAATCCCCCCCCCCCATTCCCTAGTTTGGCTTCACTGCTGTAATTTTGCCATGGTAACTGGGTAAGCCACTAAAAACATAAATGAATAATTGTGCTAACATTTGCTGCTAAACCACTGATAATAAAAGGACAAAGTATGGGGCATTAGTTTGTGTTATTGTCTGATACGACCCGAGACTTGGGGGAGAAGAGAAGAAATTGAATGTCATCTCAGAAACAAATACCATAATACTTTCGATTTAGTTTAGAAATCTAGAAATATTTCCAACAGGAAAGGTTAGTTTTCAATTTGTTCCTGAGGATTGTTCAGTTGATCTAGGCCTCCATCTTTGAAAACATAAACTTTGTTTTGTAGTTGCTTAACTCTAGTTTGTTGTCAAAGACAAAAGTAGGAGTAAGAGTGCAAACATGTAGATGTGCAACCTCCTTTCATCTCCACTGCAAAGTAAAATAGCCACTTCATGCATTATGTGATGTGGAAGTACTGTGGTACCTCTGGTTACGAACTTAATTCGTTCCAGAGGTCCGTTCTTAACCTGAAACTGTTCTTAACCTGAGGTACCACTTTAACTAATGGGGCCTCCTGCCGCGCCGCCGCAGCACGATTTCTGTTCTCATCCAGGAGCAAAATTCTTAACCCGAGGTACTATTTCTGGGTTCGCGGAGTCTGCAACCCAAGTGTTTGTAACCCAAGGTGTTTGTAACCCGAGGTACCACTGTAAGTGGTAAGCACCTTGGCCATTGGATTCAATATGACTCTTCTTTTCTGGCACAGATGCTATGAAAGAGTTTGTGGGGCATGGCTGGAAAGAATCCCTCTTCCACCTTGCCATGAGATAAGGTTGACAGCGCTTTGTACGCTTACTACAAGAAGGTGGCTTCAAGTAGAGGTGGGTAGACTGGCCTGCTAGAACCCTGAGATCTACCAAACTAGGTACGATGCAACATACTGGCACAGGAGGCAACCATATACTTAAAATTAAGGAGCTAGGTGCCTCTGAGCACATGCTCAGTCCAGGTAATTAAAAACAGGGAGTTGTTGATTTGTTGCATAGCCCCCCCCCCATTTTAGGCTGAGAAAGCAGAATTAATTTTAGAGCAAAGAACAGTCACCTCTTGACCATTAATGAGACATACTTCAGTTGCTTTCTGTAAAGCTAAATTTCAGACGAGAGGGAATCCAAGATAGCTTTATTTGTTACCAAACTGATTTGACATCTAACATTTTCATTTGAGTTTCTTATTTATGAGGCATAAATGAAACACTCAATAATTTATGAAAGAGCCCAGCTTCTCCCTGCGTGCTGTGGAAATATAAGTATCCAGCTGCCGGCAGGAGGCCTGCCCTGTGGTTTCTGGCTCATCAGGGGAGACAGCAATTTAGTTAATTTCCAGGCAATCTATCATCTATTATCATTATTGGATCAAAGCGGATGCCAGTGGCTCTTTGTCGGCACCCTTTGGGTTTATTTCTTTCTTCACTGAATGGATATTGGCAATTTCTCAGAGGTACAAAAGATGTAAGATGGCACGCAATTCCTCTCCACGAATCCAGACAAAATGTAAACCAGGAAACAAATAGTTCCTTGTCACTGGGGCCAGCCTGTTACCCAGCCTTGTCTCCTTGAGCTCCACTCATTTGCACCCATTTGAAGATCACAGCACTGTGGGGGCGACTCAGTGGCTTGTTCTGTACAAACCCATAATTGAGAGTGCCAAGGCTAACATAGTGCAGGGCTGGGTTGACTTCAGTTTTGTGCAATGGTCTTTGTTTCTACTAGAATCCATGGGGCCCACCAATGCATTTGAAAATTATGAATAAAAAAGAGGGCATCTTCAGGATCTCTTAAGTAACTTGTGTTATGTAATGCTCAGCAGGCATTCTTCGCTCTGGCATTTAAGGGTTAAACTACACAAAACATTAAAAAAATGCATCGTTTGGAGTTTCATGATTTTTCCTTTTTACATGGCAGACAGCAGCCATCAGGACCACAGTATGTGGGGAAGAGAGCTAATGATTTTCTCCTCACTGTGGTCCCATTGATAATTGCTTCCACTGAAGCTCCTGTTCGACATATTAAGGAAAATGGCTGCTTCAAGTTGTTGGTTTTCAACACTGTGATATATCAGTAGCTAAACACTATGATATGCTGATATATCACAATGTCTGGAAGGTATCTCAGCTGTTTCTTCTTCCTCACCTCAGCAGAGGAGGAAGCAGCTGAGATACATTGCCCAGCCCTACACTGTGAGCAAGTCCTAATGCCTCTCTGGCTCACATGAGCCAGAGGAGCATTGGAGCTTGCTTGAACCACTCAGTGGGGTGGGGGAGCCTCCCACCCACAGCTGAGTGAGCCCTGATGCCCCTCTGGCTTGTGCTTGCTCAGATGAGGGGGTGGGAGGTGTCCCTCCAGCTGAGAGGCTCCAGTGCCCCCCAGAGAGGCATCAGGGCTCCCTCAAAGGCACTTGTCTGCCTTTGCCTGGGAAGGTGGGTTGCATCTTTTCTGCCAGGGTGGTCAGTTGCTCCAGGAGGAAAGATGAAGAAGAAGAAGAAGAAGAAGAAGAAGAAGAAGAAGGGGAAGAAGAAGAAGAAGAAGAAGGGGAAGAAGAAGAAGAAGAAGAAGAAGAAGAAGAAGAAGAAGAAGAAGAAGAGGAGGAGTTTGGATTTGATATCCTGCTTTATCACTACCTGAAGGAGTCTCAAAGCGGCTAACATTCTCCTTTCCCTTCCTCCCCCACAACAAACACTGTGAGGTGAATGAGGCTGAGAGACTTCAGAGAAGTGTGACTAGCCCAAGGTCACCCAGCAGCTGCATGTGGAAGAGTGGAGACGTGAACCCGGTTCCCCAGATTACGAGTCTACCGCTCTCAACCGCTACACCACACTGACTTGGGCAAAGTCAAAAGCAGACAATTGCATAGAGCCTGAAATCATGCTTCTTGGGCTCTGTGTGCTCGGTTGCCACCCGCCTGCCTTTGCCCAAGCAGGTGAGCTTCATCTTTCCTCCTGGAGCAAACAACTACCCCAAGAGGAAAATCGCAGCCTGCCTGCCTGGGCGAAGGCAATTTGAGTTGATGATAACATCACAGCAGCTGGGGAGCCGCAATGTATTGGCAGCTCAAAAGGTCTGAAACTGGTACCGTGATGTGAACACCATACTGGTTTCAGAGAATGTCAAAGTATCGCCCAGCCCTAGTAGAAATAGTTTGCATTGGGACTATGGCGTGTGAGGAAAAGGCACCCTCTGGAGTAATTATTTTTTTTAAAAAAGAAAATAGTTGTGCAAGTCTCCTGTAATGTGTATTTTGGCTCCAATAAGAGCCCTGATAGATCAGATCAAGGCAGCGGCGTAGCGTGGGTTGTCAGCACCCGGGGCAAGGCAAGTAATTTGCACCCCCTAACCCAGGGCAAGGCAAGTAATTTGCGCCCCCTAACCCCTAACCTGCTGCCGCTGCCAGCTTCTTCTTGCTGCTGCCTGGTCTGGTCTGGTGTGGTTCTCCCCGCGCTCAGCGCTGCGCTGGGCAGCCGCTGCACTGTCCCTCCCCCAGATAGTCCCTCGCTCTCTCTCCGCACTGCACGCCTGACACCCACCCCCTCCACAGTGGGCGGCGACCCAGCAGCTCGGATCGGATTCGCACAGCCAGCACTGCAGTGAGAGAGAGTGAGTGAGCCAGGTAGGGGCAGAGAGCTGCGAGTGCGAGCGCGCCCCCCCCAGATGTTGCGCCCGGTGCGGCCGGCCCCCCCTGCACCCCCCACGCTACGCCACTGGATCAAGGCCCACTGACATCAGCAGGCACTGGCCAGCCCACCAGTAGATCACCAACAGATTAGTGCTTCACCAGCAGCTTGCTTTATCTTTTTCTTTTCTTTTTGTATCTTGGAGTAATCGCTGAAAAACTGTTGACAGTACTCAGCCTAGGGATATAGGAAGAAAATTATCATGTTGCATTTCATTGCACGTAGCACTGTTTCCTTTGTGTTGCAGTTTGGCTTCTGACAAAAACTACATTTTTTGTCTTGCTGTCTGCTGTGGTGAAATTTTATGTAATGAATTATGCTGTAATGATATTATCCTACCCCATTCCAGTGCAAAGGAAACACAATGCAAATGGAGGAAAAACACACCGTTTTCTCTCTCCAGATGAATGGTGGATGCTCAGAACAAACAACAGGGGAGAGCTAGTGCCTTCATACTCTGCTTATTTACTTTCTAAAAGCATCTGGCTGAAAACTGAATGCTAAATAAATAAATAAAAACCTGTATTGTGAGTTCACAGAAAAGCTGGCTATAAGAGGATTCTGCTGTAGTGAGAAACCTCTGTCATGGATGTTAGTTTGAATGGATGCCAAGCCCCTCAGAATATGTACTGAAGGCAGCTCTTCATAAGTATTCCCTCGATCTTATCATATAGGGCATCTCAGGAAGGTTGGGGACCTGGCCAAAAGGCTGTATCTGTGCATGAAGACAGGCAGCAGAGACAGGCCGCTGCATTTCATGAGGCAGACAAAACAAACACCAAAGATAAATCCCCCCTCTAGGGCGGAACGTCCTTGCTGATGGAATTAAGGAAAACCTGTTTCATGCTCCTTTGTAGCAGCCCAGCCCAGCCATGAAATCTCTGCTAAGAGCAGCTTTCAGAAGAGTTTAAGAAGAGCCTGGAAAATTTCCCCACGTTTCCTCCTTGCTTTTCGTCTTCTCTGATGCTGGAGACATCTGCACAGAGCTGTGCTTGGGCAGAAGGAAGTGGTGCCCTCAGGAAGCACCACTGAATCTTTCCTCTCCCCATCTCTTGCAGAGGTGCCTCAGCAAAGCAGTGGTGTTCAAGCCTCCAGAAGTTTATCAGGGGCTCCTTATTTAGAAGATCAATAATGGCGTACAAATTTCCTTGAAAGACAGTTTGTCCAACACACTACTGATCTCCACCTACAAAACTGCTGGGAAGAGTTGGGTTCATTCTAGAGCTGAGTTCCCACACAACACTGCTAAAGACCCAAGAGGCCTGAGTTCAATGGTTCTTATATTCCTAAGGAAGTGTGACAGGATTGTAGGTGAAATCTGTCAGCCCCATTTGAGAATTAACAGGATTATTTAGTGGATGCCTTTGCCAACTAAGGGCTTAGCCACACTTCCTCTTGTCCCACTGCTTTTCCCCGGGAAAAAAGACTCTTTAGCACTCGGTTGGAGCAAATGGCAATTTGGTTTTTTCCTGGATTGACATTTGCTATGATCTATCGCTAAAGAGTGAATTTTCCTTGGGGCAAGGGGGAAACCACTTGGACCTGTACCTAGAAAGCATGAGTCAAGTGGAAAACCAAACATGGGACAAGTGGAAGAGTGGACATGCCCTAAATTTGGGTCAGGAGGAAATGCCTCCTCCCGCCAGATTGCCTGGGACTCCTTCCTCCCAAACTCTTCTTCTGTGCGATGAGACACAGCGCAATTGTTTCCTGGGGTAAACACCTTCTGCCGTGTGCATCTCTTTTCTGCTTGTGGCACACTGCACAAAATTTAAAACTTTTCTACTTAGTGTGATTGTTTAAATGCGCTGGTGAGAATTATGGTAGAAAAGTCATGGAAAAGGTGGAGTAACTCAGAGGCCCTTGGGAGCAACGCTGAGCAAGGACTTGGAGGGAGTTTGACCAAGTACAGAGACAAGGGGAATTTAAATGACTAATCTCTGTCCAGAGAGACTGTAATGTGTGGAATAGCACTAAAGGTGAGTTCATCACCCAGTGGCTATAGCATCATCATAGCAACTTGGAAGTTTGGAAGAGATCAAATGCCATGGACAGAACACCTTCCTGCAACCACATCACTTGAAACGCAATACTGTTTCATGCTCTTTGCTTCCTAGAGAGATATAATGTCTCAGAGGCAGGGCGTTTCAGAGCAAGGGAGAGTGGACATGAAGAGACACTGTGCTAGTCTTTAAAACAGAATGTCCTTGGAGGCCCCTTTCCCCAGCCGACTCTGTGCCAGGCAGCTGCAAAAATTCAGACTTCTGCTTCCTTTGGCGGCCAAATGCCAAAATGCCAAACTGTTTCACTTCAGTCTCTGCCCACAGCAGGTGGTGTGTGTGTGTCCCATCATTAGTAGCCACTCACCATCAAAAGCCACCAATGGACATTTAAGGACAGCCTCAGGATCCATTAAAAGAACAGTTTGACCTACTGACTGTACAAAAACCTAAAGTAAAATTAACCTCACTTTGCATGTTCATTACAACACTCACAAAATGTTTACATTTTAGAAAAATAGTGTTTTTAAAAACAATCATGCAGACATACTCAAAATCAACTATAACATTTCCCTGCTTGTAAATTCTGCGAGGAAAAATAAAAACCACCCACACCATTGATGAGGAAGCTTACCTGTGAGGGTGGCCCTGGTTGTGGCACTTGCACTTCGTGGCACTAGAAGCTCATGGTATTGCTCTCCAGCCAGAGTGCTGTAGATGACCTTGAAATTCTCCACCTCTGCCTCACTGTTGTCCCACTCAAGTTCCAGGCTGTCATATGTCCGGGAGAGCACACGCAAGTTCTTGGGAGCATCAATTTCTGCGTTTGAAAAGGAAATAGTCAGTGACTTGCTTTACTCTTGCTTCTACAGCTACAGTCTTTGTACTCTCCTAAACTGTAAGCCTTCGCATAAGAAAGACATTTTCAGAAATGTAACCTTGCTGTTTATTTAAGAAAGCTTGCTCAAGAACTAGGAGTTTTTTTCCAACACAATCCAAGTGAAATTATTTTGATTTCCTGCTATCTTGTTCTCCTGCATAAATCCACTCTGAGAATTCGAGCCAATAACTCTTGCACAGAGCCAAGGAACTTGCTCATTAACTAATACTAATGATAACCCTTATCAGTCATGTAATGCATTAAAGTATGCAAAGCACTTCATGGTCTTTATCTAATTATAATTTGGAGAACATTGTTCAGTGAGACATCTACTTTATAATATAAATATAATGTGTAGGTCTGAGACGATAGCAAATCTGCCTTATTCACTAATAAGCTATTTGGATGGTTAATGGCTTTGAAAGGAAATCAAATGAGGGAAAGCCAAGTGATCAGATTTAAAGTTGAAACACATCTGAAGAAACAGATTCAAAACTCTCAGCACTCTCAGCAATATTTTTCAATAAACTTCCATATGAAGTTGTCTTATATTGAGGCAGTTCAATCCAGGCCACGCCTGTTTACTGTACCTGGAAGTCGTTCTCTGCAGCCTCAGGCAAAGAAATATTTCATGGACCCTGCAGGGCTAATCTTACCAGGGCCACAGCCACTCCCCTAAAGGCACCAGAGGAATAGGAATGAAGCTGTCCGGTGTTGAGTCAGCCCTTTGCTTCCTCCAGCTCAGTTCAGTCCACTGGGACTGGCAATGGCCTTCTGGGTTCCTCAGACATCTTTTCTAGCTTAGTTACCCAAGAATCTTTTAAAACAGAGGTGCAAGCACTAAACTATGTTCCCAATCATGACATGAATTGTGGGTTTGAGGCGACAAAAGATTTCACATGGAAATATGCACTCTGTAAGCAAGCTCCAGCCTTCCAGAGAGTTCATATTTTGAATTCCAAGTGCTGCGCTGATTTTTCAGTTTGTTTACATTTTCACTGCAGAACTAACTGGAGGTCACTAACTGGAATCTTGGCAGATTCAAAATAGCATTACGTAGTGTTTTGTGTGAGTGGAACAATGTCTGTTGTGCACCCACATCCTTCCCCTGCAAGACTGTTCTGTGTCCATCCCCCTCAACCATCTGGAGCTGATGTGGGGAAGGTAGAGGGCATGCGTTGGTGTGTTTTTTTTTTTTTGAGGGGGAGAGTTAGGGGAGAGGAAATGTCAATTGCCTATCCTAATCTGGATACAACTTTTATCTTCTGTGCACCCTTTCGTTCCGTGGCCAGGTGCCATTGAGGAGAGGGCTGCTGCACATTTCATAGTTGTGTACAGGTATGGATTTCAGCAGGTGTAACTTGTCATGTATACAATAAGGAAAGGTGCAGGTAGTCTGCTTTTCCTTGGCATCTGGTCACCCATTTGGTCCCTTCTTTTTTAAGTCAGCCCCAAAGCTCGTGTATGGAAGAATGCTCTGCCAGAGATCCTAGGAGGTATTCAAAATGTGCAATCGAAATGGGAGATCTTGGGTTCTCCCAGCTTCTAATTTTAGCAGTTTTAAATTCAGTTTTCCTCATGTCAACACCAGTTTGCAATTTCTTTTCCTTTAAAAAGGCCTTCAAAAACTCAGCAGCATATTAATGTGACATTCTCCTAATATACACATTTTTGCAAAGCAATTTCCCCTGCTATAATAGATTTTTGTATGTTATGTTCACTAATGTATGCATTTCATGCACACTTTAACTGCACAGCTGCATTTTTGTACACTACAAAATTCAAAGAGATGCAAATTTTGAGCAATGGTAACATTCCACAAAGTGCAAATTAGGTAGGTTTGTCTTTAAATGTGAACTGAACTCTTGCCTCCATTACTAATCCAAACCAAAGCTATACAGTGGTACCTCGGGTTACATACGCTTCAGGTTACATACGCTTCAGGTTACAGACTCTGCTAACCCAGAAATAGTACCTCAGGTTAAGAACTTTGCTTCAGGATGAGAACAGAAATTGTGCTCTGGCGGCACAGCAGCAGCAGGAGGCCCCATTAGCTAAAGTGGTGCTTCAGGTTAAGAACAGTTTCAGATTAAGAACGGACCTCCGGAACAAATTAAGTACTTAACCTGAGGTACCACTGTATTCTTATATTCACTTACCTGACTGAACTTCCAAATAGACAAGCATATGATTGTACTGTAAAGGTAAAGGTAAAGGCACCCCTGCCCGTACGGGCCAGTCGTGACCGACTCTGGGGTTGCGTGCTTAAGAGGCCGGGAGCCAGCACTGTCCGAAGACACTTCCGGGTCACGTGGCCAGCATGACGAAGCTGCTCTGGCGAGCCAGCACGAGCGCAGCACACGGAAACGCCGTTTACCTTCCCGCTAGTACCTATTTATCTACTTGCACTTAGGGGTGCTTTCGAACCGCTAGGTGGGCAGGAGCTGGGACCGAACGACGGGAGCTCACCCCGCTGCGGGGATTCGAACCGCCGACCATACGATCGGCAAGTCCTAGGCGCTGAGGTTTCACCCACAGCGCCACCCGCGTCCCTACAGATTGTACTGTAAGGTGCACTTATTTCCCATTCAAAGTAATGGGACTAACACAGAGTTTGTGTCCAATGCCTTCCAAGTTAATGCTTTTTTCTGATTCAGTTGTTACACTTCCTTTTGTGCATCTTTGAGGTCTCCTTCCCGGACATTCCCACAAGTGTGGTGCCAAACTGGTGGTACTGAAGGCAGATTGTGAACACCCTGTGTAGTGTTGAAACAGGAGTGACAGACTTATAACACCACAGTTTTGCTGCCTCACTTGCCTTTTTGATTATGACCCAAAAATCAGAGAATGAAAGACTCAGCGAATCAATTAAGTGCACATCCCCCTTACTCTTAAGTGCAGCCAGCAAGGCCTCTTCATACGGATAACTGCATCTTTATGACGGGCAATATCTAAGCCATAAAACAGTTCCAACATCTACTTTGCTCCTCCTCTTTTACAGAACTGTCATTTAAAGCAGTTTACTCTCTATAGGCTTTGAATTATTTAATTTTTCCTAAGTATTCCTGCATAGTGACAGCAGATGCACATTACATTCTGCAAGTGCCTGTATCACCTTCCCACCCCCAATCTAAAGCTGCCTAAAGCAGGAGGATGGAAAACTTCATTAGCCCAGCAGCGTGTGCCCTGCCTGCGTCACCTCAAGAACAGTGCCTCCCCAGCATGGATGACCTTTTACATTACAAACAGATTTTCTTACTGATGCTGTTGTTGGAGTAATGACTAGTGAGCGATTCTTTGAAAACAGGGTGAGGCAGAATGAAAGCATGCGTATGGTAATGCAACACCTCATGCCTGCCATTGCCAGGACGTATGAATCTCCTTTGTACCACAGGTCCATTTAGCCCCATTGGCAGAAGCTCTCTAGGATTTCAGACAGATGCACCCCCCCCCACCGGCTAATATCAGAGCCCCATCAAGTGCAGATGCTGGAGGCTGAAACCACAAGCTTCTGATCCTCTGCCACTAAACTACAGACTCTTCTATAGGTTGGGCATCTTCATGTTGTGGAGAACATAACATACAAATGCATCTTTAGCTGCAGGTGAGTAGCAATCGGCTAACGCTTGTTTGTCTCGGGCATACCTGTGACGAAGAGGGTGACTGCGGCATCGCTCTCATTGGTCCCACGGACGGCAGCGATGGAGACTTCGTACCGTGAGCCAGGGCGCAGGGCCTGCATGGAGTACTGGCTGAGGGGGGGTTGTAGTCGGAAGGTGGTCTTTCCCCCTTCTCCATTCTCTAGGCCATACTTCAGCAGAATGTAGTCAACTTTAGCCCGGGGTGGAGTCCATTCAACAAACGCCACTGTGTCTGAGACATCTCTCACCAATATCTGGGTTGGTCCGTCAATTACTAGACACAGTTGGTGCATTAAAAAAATTGGAAGAAAGAGACACATTATACAAGAGGAATAGACAGAGTAGAAAGACTTTAATGGATTTTTGCCCTAAGAATCTATACTAAGGACGTGTGCGATTTCTGCTTCTCCATCCATCCTCTTGGATATGCGTGGAAACTGTAAGCAGGTAGCATTGCTTTTAGGAAGGACAAGAACAAAAAATATATACGTGGAGATATGCGTCAGAGTTGCAGATGCTACCTAGTTACTCTGTTGTTTACAATGGCATGTCCATCACTTGAGGATCTCCTAGGAATCATTTAATCCTGAACTGGAGTTTCTACACCCAGCCGCCATTTGCATCTGTCCCATGTGCAAGAATGTGTGCAATTAATTCCACCTCCTCACCCACAACCAACAATGAATGGAAAGTAAATCAGCTCAAATTGGGCATGAGGGGAGATGGGGTTAATTGTCCGTATCAGCAGGACTACGGTACTTGGGTTGGAAACTGAAGCCGCACCAAGCATTTGCTGGTTTGCACTTGTGTAAGACAAAACTAAGCTGAAGCTAAAACAGGAGGCAAATGCTTGTTAATCACTTGTGTACCAAACCATCATTACCCTGCTGTTCTCGCTGTGCATCTAATCTCAGACTTATTTCTTGCCTGTGGATTTGAGGACTATTATTCCAGTTTCTATTCCACAGGTTTCAGTTTTCTCCCTTTGTGCTGGTGAAAGCCTAAACTGTGTTCTGCAAGAGGCACATTGGCCTCGTAAAGCATGGTTTGGTGGTGGAAAGTTATTTATTTGTTTTATCACATATGTTCAACTCAATGGGACTGACTACGGAATCAACAAGTATAGGAGGTTTGCACTGTAAATTGATATTCCTAATAAAAAGGAGGAAGAGGAACTAGAAGGGGACAGATGTGCCAACATTTGGTTTAGTTCACTCAGTCACATGCAATATTTCACCTCTCTTGATGATTGTTCAGTGCTTGGTAAATCTCAACCAAGTGTTTGAACAGCCTCCACTGAAAAACATTGTGTCTGACGTTAGATTATTGAAAGTTCTCTTTGTGATGTTTGATCTGAAACTGTTTATTCACCTATGTAAGTCAGTGGGATCAAAAGGTAATATGTATGCATATTTGAACCCCAGTATATTTTATTTTCATGATAGCCCATCATAGCAGAGGCCAACCTACTACCCTTGTAGCTAAATCTTGAATTTCCCATTTTGTAATTTCCACATGGACAGTTCATTAAGAAATTTATTCAAATAATATGATCTGCAAGGCAAGGAAGTCAAGGAAATTTGAGCAAGACAAGTGCTTCTAGCTGCCATTTGCATTTTTAAAAGCGTGCACATTTTCAGGGCAAAGGTGTCTCGTTTGGCCTGAGGCAAAACCATCTTTCCCACACCACACCTACAGATTCACCTATGCCATGTAACCCAGACAAAAGCTGGAGGAGCAGAGCAGCAGAAAGAGCAAAGCTGTAGCCATATCCAAATGACCTGAGCAAGAGAGCAAAGTCAAATAAGTTTGCATGTCTATTGGATAATTATTTATGTTTGTTCTTAAATTGTGGGAATGTGGAAACCCAGTCTAACAGACCCTTGGCTGGAAGAAAACAGCAATCACCCCATTGCTATGAACTTTTAGGTAAATGTGAGGATTCTAAAATGTATCATATCTGACATGTATAGAAGTCAAATTTCTAGGAAAAACAGATGATGAAAGGTGGCCAAAGGTGAGGTATAGGGAGGAAACCCAGAATGGGACATTTGAGGAGAGGAAGAAGGGGATAATTCACATAGAATTCAAGTGGATATATTCTCTGCAAGATTTGCTGTTCTGACTGTGTCTCCTTCAAATCAGTCTCCAGTAGGGGGAGGTAATTTTGCTGCTTTTTGGGCATCCATTGATAATTCAATAACTCTTGGCAAAGCATTTCCCACCATAAGAAGAGGATAATGCCCACAGCTTCTCTGAATGAATTCTTGACTCCTTCCAGGCAGGAAGCAGGGCAAGAAAAGTGACTCATGCAGAAAGTCAGGGGGTGGCTGAGGTCTGACGGTGGGCAATTTTCACAAAATCTAACAGGAGGCATTTTCATGTTTAAACATGAAGTGTGCCTCCAAGTTTTAATTACTAAACAAAGTGTTGTTCGGAACATTTGCAAAATGCACCCATAGATGAACAAACACCAAAAGAGCACTTTAAAAGGGGCAGTTGCTTCAGATGGCCTGTAGGTGCCACTTGTAAACCACATCCTGCAAGCCATTCTAAAGCAGACAACATCTGTAAAGGAAAAAAGAAAGAAAGAGAAGGAATGTCTGTATATTCCTGCTGACATAATGACAGGGTGACTACGATCTGCATCAGAACCGCTGATTCTTGTTCAGCAGACTCTCTTTTGTCTGAGCGAAAGGGCTGCTTGTACAAACGTGATACTTGGCACACATTTCCTACTCCTCACTCCAAGGTCCATTAATTGCTTTATAATTATCAACCATCTTGGCACATCCCTCTCTCTGAGAACTTTGCAAGAGCTGTTTATGCATTCTTTCTTCCCCCTTAAAGATGTTTTTTGGTGAATGGAGCCATTTGATGCAATTACCAGGAGCCGGCCGAATGAGATCCTCTTTGCTGCAGCTTCAAAGCTAGAAACAAACAGGAGCTAGAATACTAAATACCCATTCATCTGTTGCCCACAAAATGAGCCCTGTGAGATCAGACCAAAAGTTTAGCTCTAGTCCAGCTTCCTCTTTTCAGCCATGGTCAGGCAGAGAAGCTTCTGGGAATGCCACCAGCAGAACAACATGAAGGCAGAAACTCTCCTGTTGTGTGTGCCAGGAATTCAGAGGGAGTCTGCCTCCGAATATGTGGGTTCCATTTAGGTGTAATTGCATATAAGCCTCAGTACAATCTTCAATCCTACCTGGAAGAAAAATTGCTGTTAACCCTCAAACTCACACAGAACTGCAGGGTGGGCTACTCACACGTTGAGACACTGGCTGAGGCTGGCGGACTCCGGGCTTGTTCCTTGAGGGCAACCACATTGACTGTGTACTCCTCACCTGGTTTCAGGCCCGTCTGATTAAACGTTGTCACGCTGCTAGGGAGCTGTGCAATCACGCCCCCTTCATTGTCCTGGGGAGATTAAACAAGCTGGCTTGAAGTTTGGAAGAAATGGTGGTATTAGCGAATCAAATTTTAATATGATTCCCTTCATATGGGAAGATTGCTTTGTTTACACATGTGTTCTGAAGTCCAATAAACCCCAGCATATCCCAACCTTCGATTAATTTTTTCTTTAGATACCCGCTTTGTTAAATAGGAAATCTTAATTTTCAGGGTCAAATTACCTATCATGCCATACTCATGTCAAGGCATCTCTGATTCTTCAATGTTTTTGCAAATAGCAATCAGTATGGAGAGCATATACACTGGGACTTTGACACCTTGTAACAAACAAAACGCGGGACGCGGGTGGCGCGAGGGATGTGAGGGACGCGGGTGGCGCTGTGGGTAAAACCTCAGCGCCTAGGACTTGCCGATCGCATGGTCGGCGGTTCAAATCCCTGCGGCAGGGTCAGCTCCCGTCTTTCGGTCCCAGCTTCTGCCCACCTAGCAGTTCGAAAGCACCCCTAAGTGCAAGTAGATAAATAGGTACCGCTTTATAGCGGGAAGGTAAATGGCGTTTCCGTGTGCTGTGCTGGTGCCAGCTCGCCAGAGCAGCTTTGTCACGCTGGCCACGTGACCCGGAAGTGTCTGCAGACAGCGCTGGCTCCCGGCCTCTTAAGTGAGATGAGCGCACAACCCTAGAGTCGGACACGACTGGCCCGTACGGGCAGGGGTACCTTTACCTTTACCTTTAACAAACAAAACAAGGCTTGCCACAATGCATTATACAGGCACAGAAATCATGCATTTCTAAGGATCCTTTTCAATAAACACACCCTTAAGGGTCCTGTTCATGTGTTACTCATGTGTAGGGTCCTGCCTTGTGGATGGAGGAACAGGAATGCTCTTTCCTGCAGCAACCCAGCATTGCACTCTCCTACTTGCAGTGAAATTCAAGTAGGAGAACACACAGGCTCAGGTACCCTGGTGAGTTCCTGCTAGGAACTTCCTGGGGTGCCCAAACTCTGCAAAAAGCAGGACTGAATTCCCCAGGTATATCAGCTGATGTGGTTGAACAATAACCCCATCCCGCATCCCCATGGGCCAACTTTGACAGGTGTGCAGGACAATCCACATGCCAAACACTTGGCATCATTAGGACACCAGATGATCGACAGGTGGGGGACCCACTCACTTGACAAAAGGTGGCCTGTGGGGGTGGGGGAGATTAGATCTGGCCCATCGGGCCAAAAAGATTCCCCTCTCCTGGGATGTAACATGTTTGCCTTAAAAACTGATCACTCCCTATTCAACTATCATGGAAGAAATGTAATGGCATCAAACAGTCCTAACTATTGAGATCTACATACCCTTCCTTTAGAAATGTATTATGAGTGGGGAAGCAGAGTATTCCAGGCACTCACTATTTGTGCTAGTAATGCAGCCTCCACATTGGCTCTCACAGTATTAGACCCTTAGAGATGGAGATGACCAATGTAATTTGCCCCTGGCAGGAAAGGAAAACCAGGAACCCACCAAAGCTCCACCATATATGAAGCCAATGGCATCTGGACCACATTGTGCCACAAACAGATGGCAGCCAGCTTTTAACACTGCTGTGTCCTCCTGCTGCTTGCTGTCCTCTGGTGGATCTGAAGGGACACTGACATCAACCAATTCAGCCTCCCTCCTGCGCCCTTTTGCTCCCTCCCCACAAAAAAACCCCTCTGATAATCAAGTAACCCAGCTGAAACACGATAGTCTGACTCTCCTGGGCTCCAGTTGGATGGTGAGAATATGCTCTTGGAAGAAGGACCACTCTAAATGTCACATTTACCTTGGGGATAAAGCTGATCTCCCAGCCATCAAACAAGAAGGAGAAGGGCTCCCATTGCATCTCGACGGTGGTCTCTGTGATTGTTTTGAACTGCAGCCCTTGTGGAGTGGAGAGCTCTGGAACATAGCGGTGAAGAAAGGGTGGGGGAGAGAGGTTGTGTTAGCTGCACCGTAACCCAGTTTTAATTGTCAACATGTAACCCAAATCTCTACTTTCCATGATCAAAACCACGATGAGTGGGAAAATCAGCTATGATGGAAGTGTGGTTCAGTGGTAGAGCATGTGAATTGCAGGCAGAAGGTCTCAATTCCTAGCATTCCAGGTAGGCCTGAGGAATATGAAATGGAAGAATATTGAGAGCCCCTAACAGGACCATGGGGTTTCTTCCAGCTCCCATCAGGCTCTGATCTAATCAACTTTTAAAATTCCTTTCTCAGTACACCTAACAGCCTAAACAAACTGTAATGTAATGAAGATTAAAATTATTTTGCCAATCCTACTAGAATGAGTGTCTGCTCTTAGAGATGACATTTAAGGATGAATGCAGCATCAGGATGAGCACACAAAAGCTTGAGAGGTACAAACTTTGACTGGTGCTGTATGGTATAAATATGCATGCTTGAACCTACAGCTTGTACCTCTCAGCTCCTCTTTCTGAGGATGTCAACTGTCTAGCAATAAGCTCTTCTTTGTTGGAACAATGCAGCTCACGACCTTCCTGGAATCTCTGCTAGGCTGGGTATACTTGAGCGATTTCACAAAACTTGTCCACCGCACACAGACTTTACTTCTGAACCCAGATCCGTGGGGTGAAGAGAACGAAGGGGGAACACCCCATGCAAAATGCAAGGAGAAAGTAAAACTCTAAGAGGAAATTTTTGCTGATTGTAAGTTGTTTTGTTTTCCTTTCCTTTTTCTTTTTACATTCCTAGATAGGTTGATCCTGAGTGGAGTCTTCCAAAATCATACTATCTGAACCACAAGAACCTATTATTTATCTTTGAAGCCCACTGAGCAAAACTGCATAGAGTGACTCTGCACATGTTGCTGGACTGCAGTTCCTATGACCCCTGACCATACTAGCTGGGGCAGATAGGAGTTGTGAGTCCAAGAACATCTGGAGAGCCACAGGTTCCCCTTCCTCACCCAAGAGTGCTCTTAGGATTGCTCTTCTCTCTTCTAAATCAATCAGGAGAACATCTCCCTCCATGAAGAGGCGGCAACATTTAGGCAGTTCCTTCTCCATTTTAAATTGCATGTTCGGTGCCAAAAAACCATGCAATACTTACGGGTGGCCACCTTGACCCCAGCCGGGGCGCTGAGCACATCACTGATGACGGCATAGATGGTGACGTTGTATGTCAAGCCTGGCTCCAGCTCCTTGATAGTGACACTGCTCCAGTCCCCAGGCACCCGCTGCTGGAGCTGCAGACCCCCAGGTATTGCTGGCTGGTAGGAGATCACATATTCAGTCACGGCCATTGGCCCATCCCATTCCAGGTCGATGGACCTGTCGCCAACCGCAGCCACTCGCAGGTTCTCAGGTGGAGCAACTGGAGGAAGAGCCAATATATTGACCGTAAGAGGTAAGGTGACCCACAAATCTCTGCAAGGATCTACGTGTCCTTGAAATGTGCTCCCCACTCAGCCTGTGAACTAAGGCAGTTATCTGAAACACATTTACAAAGTGCCTATGGAATTCAACGCAAATGATTTCCAAGTAAAGTATAAGTTCGGGTTGCATGGACCATTTCATGCATCATGATGTAACAAACTGAGATCTCCTCAACCAGCAGCTGCAACCACACCTTCCTCTCCAGCAAATGTACCCCCCCCAAAAAAAAGAACAGGTATGGGAGACTACCAGTTTGAAGCAAATAACTGAGGTGGCAGGAGTTGCTTTACCCTTCCTCTTCCTGCTGTTTCTCCTCTGAAAATCACCCCCCAGCTGCCTTTCTCCTCATAGGGAAAAGATCTGGGAAGGAATTTGGTGGGTCAAGCAGCAAGGAGGGAGAGTATTGCACAGCCTCTCCTCTTGTTGTTCTCCAGTTCCCAATCACAGCAACTGAGGTGGTTCTTTTCAGTTAAACAACCCTCCCCCCAGTAACTGAACTGAATTATGGACTGGGTGCACCAGCCGTTGCCCTGTGCACAATCCCTCATCCTGAAGCAGGAGTGAGGGTTGCATGTTCATAGTTTCAACACTTAAGGTGCATTTATGTAAATCAGCTGTTTGATAGTGAGGAGACAAAGGCTGCAATCCTAACTCTATGGAGCCCATTGGACTAAATAGGATTTGCTTAGGAGTAGACATGGTTAGGATTGCAAAAATAGATATAAATCCAAAACATTATCCTAAATAGCTGATCAACATAAATATAGCTTCCAACTGTCCCGTTTTAACCAGATTGTGATTTTTAGCATCAATCCAACAGGTAATTATAGCTCTGTAATACCTAACTAGGGAAGTGTCCTCTTGTCCTGTGCCTAGAATGTCCGAGTGGTTTTCCGTTTGCCCTGCTACTTTCCCCTGAAAACCCACTCTTCCCTGCTGAATCAATGCAAACATCAGCCCACAGAAACCCCCACTGACGTTTGCTCTGATTCAACGGTACAGAGTGGGTTTCCCCAGGGGAAAGCGGCAGGAGAAGTGGAAGTGTGGATGAAACCTGTGTGAAGGTTTAGAAGACTGTAATGTTCTTCCATACACAGAGATGGTGCCTTCCCCACTTTACAAACAGGGCACAGCACCACCATGACAAGAGGCCAGTCCTTGAGCATGCCAGAGTCTAAACTGAGGGAGAGTCGGAAAGCACTCTGTAGAGGTCTGTGCATTAAATTTCAGTGTTTTGAAACTAGATTAGACGGATGGAGAGCCATAAGTCACTGTCCTATTCACCTACTCACTTTTTCTGCTGTGGCAGAAGGTGTCCAAAATCCAGAAATCTCCTGGTATTTGCACTGTTACTTTGCACTGTACCTTTAACTCAACCTCCTTGTTATTAGCACCACCTGGAGTTGGCTTTATATGTTTTTCAAAAAATATTGTTAGTAGCAGTGACTACATTATTACATGAGCACTATTCCACAGCATTTGATATTTTCATTTACATACATTCATTCAAAACAAGATGGGGTATGTACTCTTTTTCATTACTGTTTGTATTACAGTTTATAATTTTTGGAAAGTGATATGTGCATGCAGGTCATCATCTTTAAAATTTTATTTTCGGTTTATGAAGCAATTCTATATCCTCCCACCACGCTGATGAAGAATTCTACGAAACAGTAGTCAATATCCGGAATCACTGTTCAGTGTTGGACATCATCATATTTGCTGAATATACAAAGCTTCACAGCTTGTCTTTCATCGTACAAAGTCTGGTACCTCGCTTCATTTAAAGATTTTCAGAGATTTTGAGTCTAAAGATTTCATTTTGTACTTGTTTTGGTTTGAAGGAATTCTATAAAGATTGTCGATTGCGTATGTATATGGTCATCGTGTTGCCTAGACATTGCTGACGTTCTCTTTGCAACACAGGGGTTTGTTTGGTTACAAAATCAAGAAACGACACAGGCCACGTATACACCATGCATTCAAAGCACATTTCAAGCATACAATACCTCCCAGAGAATCCCGAGAACTGTAGTTCCCTCCCTTATAGGGCTACACTTTCTTTTACAGACTACACTTTGGGGGCAGGGGAAGGCATGTGCTTTGAACGTGTAGTGTATATGCAACCCCCACGGCTGCCCAGAAAGGTTTGCAATCTTAAACAGGGCATCTCAAAGAGAAGGTGAAGGCAGCATTGCTAAAAGGGGGCAGAGGGGAGTAGGGAAGGCTTATGTACTAGCGAAAAGCGCAGGAAAAAGGTCAAACTATGATGTGGCCTTTCTGAGACTTTGAATGAAAATAATGGATTTAAGGGGGCAATGCAAAAACACGTGAGCTCTCTCTTCCACCAGAAAACCTTTGGCACAACAAGGATTAGCTCTAATAAGCAGAGGGCATTTGGGATTTAAAGATTCTGTATGTGCAGCCTGCTGTAAATAATAAGGCAGGAGAAAGCGCCTTTCTTGATTCTACCTCACGTGTGCAGGAGAGCAAATATCAAAATGTCAGTGTCAACATTGGAACACCACGGCTTTTTTAATTAGCAAGAGCAAATTACTCCTTTCACATTAGCTGCTAAACCCTTGGCCATGCCACTGTGTTTGCTGATGGCATTACTTCCGATATTCTTCTTACCCTTTGCGGAGGAGGGATCAGCTCAGTGTTACTCGTTCACCACAAATGATCCACAAGAACTGTGGACTTCATCGTGGACTCAGAAAGGACAGACAGTGTGCAATCTCATGCACACTAACCTGGCATGATACTCCATTGAACAAGAGGGACTTACTTCTTGAGGGTGTGACCGCACACAAGACGAGCCTCTGCTGTGACCCTGTTCTTGATCTTACACTCTTGTTTCATTTCTTTGAAAAGCTCCATCTGGAATTAAGTTTTAATGCTGGACCAGTGTGGACCATACCTTTGGGCCAATCTAGTGCGCCATCTGGTGCTTGCTTGTCCTCCCTGATCATGCTGTCTATGGGCAGGAGGCAAGGCGGGTCTGGTGCCAGCCTATGTCTCTATCTGACTTTGGACATGCCATCCCCGTGCAGATGTGTACAGTACACCTAGTGGGGAGGGAAGAGAAGCAGCCTTTGTTCTACTCCATGGGATGGAATTAATCAGCCCAAAGAGTTTGCAAAAAGGGTGGGCAATAGTAGTTAGAAGAAAGTCCTGGAAAATAAGCTGTTGGAGATTGAAAGGGTGTTTGATTCTGGCCACCGCCTTCATTTTCTGCATTCCCTCAGGGGTGGAGAATTTATTTAGCAGAGACATCAAACCGCTTTGGATTAGGAGACAGCACTGTGCTGCTGAGCACCCCTCATCAGATTCAAGCTTGTTGTTTTAAGTGAGAAATGCCAAGCGGTGCTTTTATCTTATTGCTCAAATAGCCTCCTTGAGTGGACACAAGTGGAAAAATGCTTTCGATAACAGCCCTGATGCTCCTGTAGCTCATAGAATCATAGAATCATAGAATCATAGAGTTGGAAGAGACCACAAGGGCCATCGAGTCCAACCCCCTGCCAAGCAGGAGACACCATCAGAGCACTCCTGACATATGGTTGTCAAGCCTCTGCTTAAAGACCTCCAAAGAAGGAGACTCCACCACACTCCTTGGCAGCAAATTCCACTGTCGAACAGCTCTTACTGTCAGGAGGTTCTTCCTAAGGTTTAGGTGGAATCTTCTTTCTTGTAGTTTGGATCCATTGCTCCGTGTCCGCTTCTCTGGAGCAGCAGAAAACAACCTTTCTCCCTCCTCTATGTGACATCCTTTTATATATTTGAACATGGCTATCATATCACCCCTTAACCTCCTCTTCTCCAGGCTAAACATGCCCAGCTCCCTTAGCCGTTCCTCATAAGGCATCATTCCAGGCCTTTGACCATTTTGGTTGCCCTCCTCTGGACACATTCCAGTTTGTCAGTGTCCTTCTTGAACTGTGGTGCCCAGAACTGGACACAGTACTCCAGGTGAGGTCTGACCAGAGCAGAATACAGTGGCACTATTACTTCCCTTGATCTAGATGCTATACTCCTATTGATGCAGCCCAGAATTGCATTGGCTTTTTAGCTGCCGCGTCACACTGTTGGCTCATGTCAAGTTTGTGGTCAACCAAGACTCCTAGATCCTTTTCACATGTACTGCTCTCAAGCCAGGTGTCACCCATCTTGTATTTGTGCCTCTCATTCTTTTTCCCCAAGTACAATACTTTACATTTCTCCCTGTTAAAATTCATCTTGTTTGTTTTGGCCCAGGTCTCTAATCTGTCAAGGTCGTTTTGAAGTGTGATCCTGTCCTCTGGGGTGTTAGCCACCCCTCCCAATTTGGTGTCATCTGCAAATTTGATCAGGATGCCCTTGAGTCCATCATCCAAGTCGTTGATAAAGATGTTGAATAAGACCGGGCCCAAGACAGAACCCTGTGGCACCCCACTAGTCACTCTTCTCCAGGATGAAGAGGAACCATTGATGAGCACCCTTTGGGTGGTTTCCCCCCTTTTCCATTTTTTGTACACATCCTTTTTTAATCTTAACTCAGTTAAAAGTTCTTTAGATAGCCACCCTGGCTTCTTTAGGCACCTTCCATGTTTACGTCTCACTGGTATTGCCTGAAGTTGTGCTTTTACTATCTCCCTCTTAACAAACTCCCAGCCATCATGAACTCCCTTTCCTTTTAGTATTACTGTCCATGGGATCTCACCCAGCACTTCCCTAAGTTTTATGAAGTCGGCTTTCTTAAAGTCAAGAAATTGAGTCCTAGTATGCTTGGCTGCTCCTTTCCGCTGTATAGTAAACTTCAGAAGAGCATGATCACTCGCGCCTAATGATCCTTCCACTTCTACCCCACTAACCAGGTCATCAACATTGGTTAGGACCAGATCTAAAATGGCTGTTCCTCTTGTTGCTTCTCCCACTTTCTGGACAATGAAGTTGTCTGCAAGGCCAGTGAGGAATCTGTTTGACCTTATGCTCTTGGCTGAGTTTGACATCCAACAAATATCCGGGTAACTGAAGTCCCCCATTACTACTATCTCCCTTCCTTTTGCATGCTTGGCCATCTGTTCCAGGAAGGCATCATCTATATCCTCCGTTTGGCTTGGGGATCTATAGTAAACTGCCACAATGAGGTCACTGTTATTCTTCTCTCCCTTAATTTTGACCCAAATGCTCTCACTTTGGCTTTGAGGTTCTAAATCTTGGATCTCTTCACAGGTATACACATCCCTGACATATAACACCACTCCTCCTCCTTTCTTGTCTGGTCTGTTTCTCTGAAATAGATTGTATCCCCCCATTATTTACATTCCAATCGTGGGACTTATCCCACCAGGTTTCAGTGATGCCTATTATGTCATATTTAGTTTGCTGTACCAAGAGCTCAAGCTCATCTTGTTTATTTCCCATGCTTTGCGCATTAGTGTACAGACATTGAAGTCCATTAATCATTCCCCGTGTCTCTTATTTAAGGATTTTTTCCTCCCACCACTAGGTCTGTGTGCTGTTTGCTCCATTTGGTCTATGACATTTGGATGATCATCTTCATCAATTGATAGACTCCTACCTTCAGGAGCACTGTCTCCTCCCCACATTAGTCAGTTTAAAGCCCTCCTGATGAGGTTTCTGAGATTTTTGGCAAAAACATTCCTCCCAACCGTTGTGAGGTGCAGCCCATCGCTTGCCAGAAGTCCATCTTCAAGAAACTGCAGTCCGTGATCTAAGAATCCAAACCGTTCCTGTTTACACCATTTGCGAAGCCAGCTGTTCACTTCCACTATTTTCCCTCTCTCCCTGGGCCACGTCGTTCAACTGGGAGGACAGATGAGATGACAATTTGTGCATTTAATTGCTTCAATTTCCTGCCCAGAGCCTCATAGTCTCTTTTGATCTTCTGGAGGCTATTGCTTGCAGTGTCATTGGTTCCCACATGAACCAAGAGGAAGGGGTATTTGTCAGTGGGTTTTATGATTCCTTGCAGTCGTTCAGTTACATCTTGGATCTTAGCCCCGGAGAGACAGCACACTTCCCGAGACATCTTGTCAGGCCCACAGATCATTGCTTCTGTTCCCCTCAGTAGGGAATCCCCTATCACCACTACACGCCTCCTCTTAGGTTTGGTCAGAGTTCTTCCGTGAGCTGTCCGTTCCAAGGTTGCCTGCACATTCCCTGAGGACTGACTTTGCTGCTCGTCTTCATATACCTGATCGACTGTAATGAGGGAGAGATCCTCAGATGTATAACTTGCTGTTGAAATGGAATACTCAGGATGAAATGGTGAAATCTGCTATGATCAAGTGGGCACAAGATGTTGGACATAACATAATGATGGCTGACTGGGAACAGTTATGGACCACAGGTATGAAGTTTACAGCATGTAATGCCTTAAGAGAGAATATTATGAAAATGATATACAGGTGGTACATGACCCCAGTCAAGCTTGCAAAAATCTATCATTTGCCCGATAACAAATGTTGGAAATGTAAAGAAACTGAAGGTACATTCTTTCACCTTTGGTGGACGTGCCCAAGGATTAAGGCTTTCTGGGAGATGATATATAATGAATTGAAAAAGGTATTTAAATATACCTTCTTGAAGAAACCAGAGGCCTTTCTCCTGGGCATAGTCGGTCAACTGGTGCCAAAGAAGGACAGAACTTTTTTTATGTACGCCACAACAGCAGCAAGAATACTCATTGCAAAGTATTGGAAGACACAAGATCTACCCACTCTGGAAGAATGGCAGATGAAGGTGATGGACTATATGGAACTGGCGGAAATGACTGGCAGAATCCGAGACCAGGGAGAAGAGTCGGTGGAAGAAGATTGGAAGAAATTTAAGGACTATCTACAGAAATATTGTAAAATTAATGAATGTTAGAATGATGTTGGATAGAAATTAAGTGGTTTTCAGCTGTAATACTATAAGGGAATATGAAAAATGGATTATTAATAGGTAAAAATTTAACGTTACAATATTTTAAGATTAAAGATTAGGATAAACAAAGAGGGTAAGGATTTGCTGAACCAACAAACTGAACTGGAATACAAAAAATGGAGGCGTGAGGAGGTCCGGGAAATAAGCTAATGAAAAATAAGTAATAGAAAGATTGAGTTGTTTTTAGCCATTTTTATTTTTGTACTTTTTTTTTTTTTTGTTTTGTAACATTTTGAAAATCTTAATAAATATCTTTAAAAAAAAAAATCAAATGGAGTCTGCTCTTCGTCTTCCATGCTAGGGGAGAGGACCTCAAAGCGATTGTGTATTTCTAAACAATCAGAGAGAACCCTGGGCCTCCTACTTCTTTGAGTCATGTTTCTCCATATATCTGGCTCCTGTGTTGATGAACTAGCCTCCTTCTCAGGGGAGTCCCCTGTCTCCTCCTTGGTGGAGACGGTGTGCTCTGTTGCTTCCAAGAAGAGCTCCAGCTCTCTAATTCTTTGGAGCGTAGCTACACGTTCCTCCAGTTGCTGGACTTTGTCTTCTAAGAGGGCAAGATACATACTTTTAAAACAGTAAAGACAAGGGCACATTGTTACTTGACTAAAGAATGGCAAGAATTCCCAAGCAGGCCCAGGATGTAGTCCTGACCACGGTAGATCAGGCACATTCACCATAGCAAAAGCCAGGGGTGCAACTCAGTAAATTATCTTCTGTAGAATTCTCAAGACAGCATTCTAAGGTGTGCAAATGGGTCTTTCAGATGCCAACAGTTACATAGAAAAGCAGCTAGTCAGATCACAGTTGGGAATCTTACTTCTTGGTCCTTCCTGGAGTTGCCTTTGGCAAAATAGGAAAATGGCATCTCAGCTGACCCCAGTCATGGAGCTTTTGACGACTTTCCTTCCAGTATCTGTTTCTGAGGTCAGGGCTCCTGAGCAAATTATTTGAACAGCCCCATACACCAGTGTTGTCCAGTGGAGGCTGGTGTACATTGGGTGGACGGTCGGCCAGCCAACAGTAGGTGGAGCCAGAGTCAATAAACCAAACATAGGTGGAGCCAACTATTACTGGTTTTGTCCCCATTCTGCTGCCTGCTGAATTCTAGAAAGGCAACACTGAGACCGAGGAGGAGCCTGGCAGTGCCTGCCTTACTGCAAGGAGGTGGGCATGTGGGGGCTGGTTCAGGGCAGACTGAGCATGGTAGGGCAGTGCCCTACAAAGCCCAATAGACGAGCCTTCACTGCTGTTGTCTCAAGATTTCAGTCTTGAGTTCTCGTGGCAACACCTGACTTCTTACCCCAAAGATTGCTGCTGAAGCCCCTCTGCCACAAGAAGCCTCTTCCCTTTCTGCCATACCAACTGTGCTCAACAGCCTTCCCTGCTCTCTCATAGCAGCCATCCCTTTCTCATCATAGCATGTGGGGAAACTCGCTACGGTGACATCTCCCTTTTTAAACAAAGTCAAGGCGATTTAATAGAATGTCAGCTTTTCACAATGGATCTGGTTGTACCTGTGAAATAGTTACAATAGCTTCGACATTATTATGTAAATATATGATAATGCATCGGATGGGTGATGGAAAGGGAAGCCAGGACACTAGCATGCCTACAGCTGCATAGCAGCAACATTTTTTTGAAAAAACAAAAACAAAAGAAGGAATCTGCAAAACCTATAAAAAGGAGAAATATGTGCACTGATTGAGCAGGAACAATTACTAGGAAACATGGGCTGTGCCTCGCACAGAGGGCATCACGCAGCCTGCCTGACTGACATGCCATCCTACCTGCTGAGCAGTCTCTCCCCTGGTAGCCTTCCTCACAAGAGCACAGGCCCTCCTGGCAGAATCCGCGCCCGCTGCAGGCGTTGAGGCATCTCAGCTGCCCGCAGTCTTCCCCCACGTAGCCCTCCTGGCAGATGCAAGTCCCGTTGGCACATCTCCCCTTTCCTGAGCAGTCCTCAGGGCACCTGAGCTCACTGCAGTCTTCCCCAGCAAAGCCCTCTTCGCAGATGCATTCTCCATCCACACAGAGCCCCCGGGAGCTGCAGTCGGTGGGGCAGCGGGCCTCTGAGCAATCCTCTCCGCTATAGTCACTGTCGCAGATGCACTGCCCATCAACGCACACGCCCCGGCTTGAGCAGCCCATGGGGCAGAGGGGCTCGGAGCAGTTCTTCCCAGCCCAGCCTTCATTGCAGACACAACCACAGGATTCCAGGCTGAAGTTGCCATGGCCGCTGCAGTGGGGGATGTAATCTAGCTGCCCTGGAAGGGTGGAGAAAAGCATTGCCATTAATAATAGTACTTAGCACACTTTGTGTGCTTTATCTTAGGCAGGCGTAGTCTGCAGCACAAATATGAGATGGGGGACACCCGGACTGGCAGTACTGCATGTGAATAGGATCTAGGGGTCTTAGACCACAAGCTTAACCCAAGTCAACAGTGTGATGCAGCAGCAAAAAACGCTAATGCTATTCTAGGCTACACCAACAGAAGTATAGTGTCCAGATCAAGGGAAGCAACACTACCGCTCTATTGTGCCTTGCTCAGACCACACCTGGAGCCAAGTCAGATGAGGAACGGTTGAGGGAGCTGGGTGTGGTTTAACCTGAAAAAGAGATATGATAGTCATCTTCAAATATCTTAAGGGCTCTCACATGGACGATGGAAAATGCAGTTCCTCAGAATGCCCAAGTCCTTAGAATGGACATCAGGTGTTCTGGAGATCTGTTGTACTGGAGATGCTTTCATGAGCATGCTCCATTGTGTTCTATGAGGTAATGTTTGTTGCCTGCTCCTATCCTGGCACCTTAAATGCTGCAGCAGCCAGTGCTATTTTTCTAGAAAAAGAGGTGCCAGAATTCACCATGAACGCCTCCCTTGTTCTCTTATAATGGCAATGGTGCCCACTTGAGAGGTGCCAGAACTGATTTCCCATGATTTCTGGCTGAAAAGAAGCCCTGGCAACAGCAATATTCTAGGCCTCAAGGATCTTGGGAAATATTTTAACAGGGGCATCTAGTTGCCGCCAGGAGTGTGATGGACATCCAAATATTGAAATTGGAATGGGTTATAACCATTTCTCCCCTGAATAATAACTATGCTAAAGGCAACTCACAACAATGAATATTATTTAGACTGATTCTTTTGTGGTGCACATTTTTTCTACCTTTTCAAAGGGGTGAGGGTTTAAAAATTTATCTAATAAATAGAACAATGTTCCCAGGGTTGGGGGCGGGGCTCAGAATTGCAATCCTTATCCCATCTTGGGAAACTAAGGAACCTCTGCCAGCTAAGGATAACCAATGTGAACAGTTTTGCCCCTGTCTGTGGGGCCCTGCTTAAAGATGGCTAAAACAAACCCCTGTGTTGTGGGAGCTGAAAGGTGTAATGAAAAGCGTCCCTGCTGTGGCTTTTTGGATCAACCCTAAATACAGAAGAGATGCAATCAATAGAAAAATGAATTATAGGTAAGACACACAGAATGAATTTATGTTGGATAAAAGAGAAAAAAAACAGTATTTTTGCAGAATGTGACATGCACATGTCAAATATAGTTTGGAATAAGAGGAAAGGTAGGTTTGTTGACCATATTCAAAATGATTCAATATGGGTTCGTAAACATCCCAACATTTCACAGGTGAAAAGAGTGTTCTTGTGTTCTTGTCCCAGCCTTGTTCTCACTGCACAGGAACACAGCTGGAGACTGTACTGTTAAATATTTCTGAAGGCTCTTACCTTTCTGAGATACCTGCTTAAAGTGAAATAGCTTGCTCTGCATTCGTTTCTCAGTCTGAATGTCTGCACTGGGCCATCTCTTTTAATACTTTTTCCCGAAAGATTTTTTAGTAGAATCTCTAATTTCACAATGGAAATTTTGGTTATGTTACGATCAGGTTGTTTAAATATGTGTGTGTAAAAGGTAAGTTAGTGCACAGAGCACACCAATAATATTATTATTATTATTATTATTATTATTATTATTATTATTTTAAAAAGGCATCACCAGCCTTCGGAAAAAATAGGATTGGTGATATATGGGGGGTGTGTGTGTGTCAAGGGCTGTCACACGTCTGCAGGTAAAGGTGGAACGAATGCCAAAATCCAATTCAGGTTTGACCCCTGGGTCTCCACTGCCGCTTCTCCCTTGGCCTTCTACCCCACTGAAAATGCCATGAAGAACTGTTCCCTGTGGCTTTTGGTGAGCACCATAGGTGTCTGTAAATGAAGGAAAGGAATGGCTACCCCTTCTCATCTTTATTTATAAGCCTAAGACCAAACAGGGCAGGAGGCTGACTTTCGAAATGGTATGGAGGATGCTTCCACGTGGCAGGTTGTTTTAGTCTCAGTGCCGCTCACACATCCAGTTTTTTTCACAGCATCCATACAATGTCATCCTCATCAAAATGCCACCCCATATTCTCCCCACCCCACATTTTAATCTGGATTTACTGTTTCTGTAGGTACTTTACTACTTATTGGATTTTCCACAGAAACTGTAAATCCGGATGAAATGAGAAATTATTATACAAGGGGGTGGCATTTTGATGAGAATGATGTGTGCGTGTTGGGCAAAACTTGCATATATAAGCAGCACCAAGTTCCCAATAAGCCGCCGTGTGCAAGCACCCTAGAGGGAAAACAGGGATGAGAAGTTTATGGCATGAGCTTCACACACAACCCCCATCTCCAAGGTATTACTGTTACTGTTACATCAGTTTCTTCTTTCTCCGCCTCAACTTTCACTCTTAAGATTCCTTGTTTCAATTACCCATTATCTCCTAGGTCTTGAAAGCTCACAGGTCCTTATTGGACTGGTGTGTGTGTGTGTGTGTGTGTGTGTGTGTGTGTGTGAATTGTTTTTAAAACTATGATACTTGTTCCAGACCAGGGACCATGAGTGCCTGGCATGTGTATAAGCCACTACCTTATTTTTGTGCTCCCCATTTCACACAGATAGTACCAGGGCTGCTCAAATTCAGAATTAAGGGAATTAGTGGGAGATCAACAAAATGTTGCAGCATATCCCTGTCCTGTAAGAGGAGCCTTGCAGTGCTGCTCAGGCATCATCTCAGGAGGAGAGGATTTCAGAAGAGGCCTCTACCATGCTATGTAGAGCTAGAGGGTTCAGATTTTGGGTGCAATCCTATACAGGTCTTCTGAGATGTAAATCCAATTGAGCTAAATGAGGCTTACTCCTGGGAAGATGTGTATAGGATTGCAGATTAAGTCTCTCTCTCTCTCTCTCTCTCTCTCTCTCTCTCTCTCTCTCTCTCTCTCTCTCTCTCCCTTTCTCTCCCCCCCCCCCCACAGGCAGAAGTGAACATAGAGTAATCCAGGATTTTAACAAAACTGTGATGAGGCTGGAGTGGGTTTTTCCCTCATGACTCTCCCAAGCAAAGCTACAGCAAAGGCACTTCAAAATTCCATTTCCAGGCAATGGAATCATAGGATCATAGAACTGTAGAGTTGCAAGGGACCCTGAGGCAGAGGCGGAACTAGCTGCTCTGGCACCCGGGACGGCGCACACGCTGCACACCTGGGGGTGGAGCTAGTCACCCGTGGGGGCGGAGCTAGCTGCCCGGGGGGACGGGGCTAGCTGCTCACAGCGAGCTTCCCAGGGGGCGCTGCGGCGATGTCACCCACCCCCCTCAGGGATGACACCCGGGGCAGACCGCACCTAGCGCACCCCCTTCCTCCGCCAGTGCCCTGAAGACCACCTGGTCCAAACTCTCTGCAATGCAAGAATATGCTGCTGTACCACGTGGGGAGTTTAGTTTTTTAAGATTTCCCTATCTTTTTGGCTCAACCACCCCCAACAGTCTGTAAGTCCTGGAAGCATGAAGATCCTTACGAGACTACTGTATTTGAGATTAAAAATAAATGAATAAACAGTAATTTAAAGGGTCTGGCATTCGACTATGTTTTACACAGAGCAGAGCCATTTAAATTAATGTATGGTAGCTAACTTAGTCATGCATATTACAGTGGGTCTACTCGGAGTAAATCGTAGTTGAATATCATGCTTGGATACAACTGTGTACCTAGGGAGTCCCCTGATAATGTAGAAAAACCTCTGCCTTTTTGTGTCTGGCCTCATCTCCCCTCAAAAACAGTAGGCACTCAGTGAGCTAAGCTCCCTATTAGAGGCAATGATGATGATAATGGATAGCCCCTTTTGACAATGCTTCTAAAAGCCCTTTCAAGCTGTTTGCCTCAAGGGTTTTTGTACCTATGAGTGTTTGAAAATCCTGTGGGAAATTGGGCCTGCTTTTTCCTGAAGTAGCCACTGCTGCTTGAACCATGATGAAACTGAAGCCCAAGCCTGCCTGACGATATTAATATTTACACTTATTTTCATAAAGGTGCATAGCAATCAAAATTCAAAGTCTTTACAGCATCCTTTTAGGACACAGGAAGATCTATGCACACTTTAAAAAATAAAAGTTGACAGCTGTTCTGGAAGCCCCTTTGGGTGCGACTGGGAAAGTGGTGCCGCCAGAGGAGAGGCCTGCCCTCTTCCTTCTCCTCCTTTCTCTGCGCTTCCTTGTTTTTAGAGATTTATACCCTACCCCACAGGGAGCTTCCAGGGCAGCTTATGGAGCATCTAAAATTACAATAAAAGCAAATTAAAGCAAAATATTAAAGCAACACAAGTCAAAAGAGTGGCATAAAAGCAGCCAGTAGACATAAAACAAATACAAAGCAGCAAAAAAACAAACAGCAGAGGATTAAAAAGCCCGATAAAAATTAAAAAGCTATTTGCTCTGTGGGAGAAGACCAGTGGTACTTGTGCGTTTTCTCCTGGGAGGGCAGTGGTGGGTGAGCTGTGTCATTCAGATGGGCAGAGAAAGCAGAGAGGCATTCAGATAGGCAGGGAGAGCGTTAAGCGCTCCCTCTCCCAAACATAGAAAAGGTAAAGGTAAAGGGACCCCTGACCATTAGGTCCAGTCGTGACCGACTCTGGGGTTGCAGTGCTCATCTCGCTTTATTGGCCGAGGGAGCTGGCGTACAGCTTCCAGGTCATGTGGCCGGCATGACTAAGCCGCTTCTGGCGAACCAGAGCAGCGCACGGAAACGCCGTTTACCTTCCCGCCCGAGCAGTACCTATTTATCTACTTGCCCTCTGATGTGCTTTCGAACTGCTAGGTGGGCAGGAGCAGGGACCGAGCAATGGGAGCTCACCCCGTCGCGGGGATTCGAATCGCTGACCTTCTGATCGGCAAGTCCTAGGCTCTGTGGTTTAACTCACAGTGCCACCTGTGTCCCTCTCTCCCAAACATAGCTTCCCCAAATTGATCCACTCCCCTCTGATGCAGTCACTTTGAACTAAAAATAAAACAGAAGGGATCTCCTCATGGAATCTGATCTCCTTTGACTACCCTTAACATTTCAGGCGCTATGATATTCTTCTTCATTGGCTTCAAACAGAGCCCGGATCTTGCAAGAAGTTTCTTATCTACTTATTATTTATTTCATAACATCTGTACACCACTTGGTTGTAACCCCCCCAAAAAAACCCCTCAAAGTGGTTTGCAAAAGGAGAAAACAAGAAAATCAAGAACAATTACAACCCTACTTTAAAACATATAAAAGTTAAAATACCAAAACAGATTAAAGTGACCTTAGATCATCTGGGTAGACTTGTCTAAACAATGATGTTTTCAGCAGGTGTTTAAAAGGGTACAGTGAAGGCAGCTGCTGGATTTCAATAGGCGGGAAGGGGGAGGGCACCACGGTTACCCCACCCCCACCCACCAAGGAGGGAGGAAGAGGGCATGACCTGGGGGTGGAAGCAGAGGAGAGGCTGCGGCAGCATTGCTGCCCCTCTCCTAGGCTGGGTTCCGGTGTGCAAGTGCCCCCCCGGTGCCATTTCCTGGGGCTGGGATCCGACAGCCTGATGCCAGCCTTGCAAAGCTGTGCAGGGCTGCCAGGGTGTGTGTGTGAGGGCACCCTTCCAACGGATTTGAAGCAGCTGCTTTGACAGCTAGGACTGGGCTAGGCTAGGCTAGTGTAGCCATCGCTGGCTCCCTCCATGCCCACCCCTGCCTGGGTGTGCCCCAATGTGCATATGCCCCAGGCAGTGGTAGCAGATGCTATGCCACTGTGTAGTCATGCCAATTCCACCGATCGGAGCAGTTAAGTGGGCCCATGTGGGATAAGGCGATCTCGCAAGTCAACTGGTCCCAAGTGGTTAAGGGCTTCCTATGCTAATAGGAACACCTTGAACCTGGCCTGGTAGCAAATCAGTGCGGACCTCTGAGCACATGTGTTAAATGTTGACAAAGCCTCACTCCTGTTGGCAATTGGGCTGCTCCGCACGAACTGCAGATCAAGTGTGAGGGAAGTTGCACATTGAGTAATCCAGTTTGGGAGCGAACAGCGCATGAACTAATGTGCTTTCCCAGTCCAGGAATGGCTGTAGCTGTTGAACCAGCTGCAGTTGGCAAAAGGCACCAGAGGCAGATTGAGGGCAGTGAGAGCGGTGCACACAGCCAAGAAGAGTGCCCAGTAAGCACTTGCCTGGCTTTGAGGAGGAGGCATGAGGGCTCTAGGACCCTGCCAGAGCCTTGCACCTCCTTCCCCAAGGGAGAAGGACTCCCTTGAGGGCTGCAGGGAGGGCGCCAAATGGCCTTGCAAGGACAGCATATTACCAAGCTCCACCCCTGAAGGCACTTCTAGCCACTCAAGTGACAGAGTTGGATCCAAAGCACCCCCAAACTGTGAACCTGCTCCTTTGGGGTGTGAATCCGATTAAGTTATGATCTGATCTAGCTGCTCAGGGTTTGCAGCTGAAATTTTAATTAGCTGACATGTCAGTTGCGCTGTCTTGCAAAGGGCTCTGATTTGATCTGGGAAGTGCAACTCTTGGGCATCTTTTCCCTTAATTATCTCAGACTTTATTATCCTCCAGATCTCTGTGGCGAAATGGAGTTTTCTGGTTCCTTTGCACACTGCCCAGAAATCAAACAGGAGACTCAAGGAGGGTGAAGTTACTAGCAGACCCTGCCTTGTGTTTGTGCGTCTCTCAAGTTCAGCCTCAATATTAGGCAAAAGGCAGGTCAGGCATCATCGCTTTGCCTCTGGTGACTCGCTCCCAGCAGCCTGTATTCAAACATTCAAACCAAAACAATACTAAGTTGATGAATTTAATGTTGTTAGGTCTCTGGAGCCTCAGACTTTGAGACCCAGGCGGAGGAGGCTGGGAGGCAAGCCGTGATGGTGGCCTAGTGCTCTCCCTGCTGCAGCCAGGAAACAGAACCTGCATCCACAGGAGCTTGGCACAATGCATATGCGAATGAAGTAACAGCAAGAGCTTTTATTAAGCTGAGCAGAAGACAACCTGCAGGGTCCCTTTATGCTAAGATTTTCCCTGAAAGCCGGTCAGGTGTGGAGGCCTGGCAGCTCTTGTGATGGTCCTTCTTAAAGGTCCTTCTTAAAGGCAATGCTGTGCTTGGTCAAGACAGCAGAATTCATTAACTTGCCGAATGTGGGGCCTGCTTGCTGTGAAAAGGATTAAGTGAGGTGGTGTGAGGAGCCATTGTTGTGTGTGTAGTAGTTTGTGTATTTGCAGAGTGAGGTGCCTGCCTCAGGTGTCAAATTTTGGCTCTGTCTTTGGTGTCAGCAGGAATTGAAGTCTTTTGTGAGATGCTGCATAGAGAAAAAGAATTTTGGGGGACACCGGCAGAGAAATGAAACCTGGGCTAGTAGCTATTTTGAGATGAGTGCTCCTATTTGCCAAGTGGTTTTCGTCCTATGTTTTAGTCTCCTACAATGCTCTTTTACAAAACATGCAGTAGCAAATGCTGTAGTGTTTGCAGGGAAATGGGTTCCCTTCTCCCCTGCAATTTGGGGACTGATCCGCAATGGTGATGTTTGTAAATGAGGCTGCCAGGTTTAGGAACTCCCACGTATTTGGAAGCAAGGATTAATTTTAGTATTTTTTCCATGGCTCTCCCTGCTGGATGTGTACACAATGTCAAGGAGGCAGGCAGAAACTCTTTCAAAAACGCCTCTCTCTTTTACAATATTCCCTCAGGTGTAAAGCATTTTCTGTACTCTGCTTCTCTCTTTTGGGACTGAGATTCATTATACCAACAAACCCCTTTGAAAACCGCCTTATTACAATAGCCTGCTGTTTCCTTACTTTTGAAGAACAGACTTCTAGAGATGACCAACTGAACCGTGTCTTTTGAAAGACTAAACCTGAAGGTATACAAGTGAGCTCCACAAAGCTTTGTGCTTTGTTATTCAGACGAAAACCAGTGCTTTCATTATAAATGTTTTTGTTGATGGTTCCTGACTGCTAAAGATACTCTCCCAGGTGTTTTAACTGTGTGTGCATGCACACACGTCTGATTTATTTACGTTGGTTTTTTTACAGTTGCTAGCGGCCATGTGTATGCTAAGGGACTTATGCATATGCAATTGGATGCAGGATTGCAGCTTCAGAAGATAGAAAGCACTGTATTCTTTGATATATTGCAGGGGTGGGAAACCTCCCACCCACAGGTGCATTTGGGCCTGGCCTGAGCACCAATTGGGTCCACAAGGCCCACAATTTGGCCTCACTCCCACAAACCACACCCACAGGTAGTGGGGAACTAAATTGCGCAGCCAATCCTTGCCCAAAACAGGCTTGAAGCCACCTGAGATATTGAAGAAGACCAATGAAAACAGAAACAGGCTTGCAAATGGCCATTTTTGGCTGGAATGGGGATCAATCAAGTGAATACAATCTGTATTTGCTGCTGTTCTTGCTTTCAGTCTGCAAGTGATACATGATTGATTACCACTCCCCCACCTCCCATTCTGTCTCTTATGAATTAAAATGAATGGAATAATGTAATTTACAGCTAGTGAGACAAAGGGAAGCAGTGCTGCAGTGAGACAAATGTAGGGTGGAACAGGGTAGCCCATCAGCTGCAGTCACCCCCACTCAGTAGAAAGCAGGCTCAGTAGAAACCATACTGCTTTCAGCTACAAGATGGTTTTTGCAAACTGTTGCCTCACAGTTTTATTTTAGGCTGCTCAAGATAAAGCAATATGTCTTGCTGAGCTTTACTGCTTCTACACTCTGGGTTTTTAAAAATGTTTTTATTAACATTAAGTCTCTACATTCTGGTTTTGATTGGCTGTCTGACAACAAGGGAGAGACTTCCTCAAGATGTCGAAGTCTCTCTAGGGTGGTGTTTCTCAACAGTTCAAACCTTTCCCTGAACCTTTATCTCCCGGGCCTCCCTAACTCAAGAAGCCCTGTGCGCATGCCAAGCTAAGCTTGGGTTCAGACTAAGGCTGAGCTCAAAATTATTGCTTGAGAACTCTCAGCTCAAATTGGTGCATGCAATCTGGGCTGCCAGAAAACTTGTGTGTGTTTTTAACTGGGCAATAGATGTGGTGGGGATCAAATGAAATGCTACCACTGATATTGTGGCCCCCAATGAATCTTTTGAAGAATTTTGACACCCCATCAACTTTTGCCACAGTCCTCCTCATATTCAATGCTTCCAAGTGTTTTTGTTACTTGGGGAGGGGGGATTTTCACTCAACTCCAAATATTCATTCAGCCATGAAGCTAGCTGGGCAAATCATTATTTCACTGCCTAACCCATCTCGCAGGGAAGTTATGCAGGCAACATGGGACAACGCCTCATGCATGCCATCCTGAGTTCTTTGAACAGAGGTTTGGTTACAAACTTGATAAAGGATATAATAAATATGTAAACTTCTGTTTGGCAGATGAATGTGTAGAGATTCTCACACTCAGTCCTGGATGTGCACTCCACTGATTACTGCTTCTGCACTTCTCCATCTCATCCAGAACAGAACTTTAGCATCTCCCTTAGCAGGGAAATGAGCTCCCAACTTGGGCTCACCTTGGACATTTCTCATCTAGGAGAGATGTAAAAGCTCTGTTTGAATTGTGATGGATATATGCAGGGAGAAAGCACAAAGCATTCAGGTTACCTGGTCCCTCAACTTCTCCATCACGTCTGAAGCATTGTGCATGGAGGAGGATGCTTTCAAGCCTCCCAGATAAGAGTAGACATTCTCATGCATGCATTTTCATTCTTCAGCACCCCCTGGACAGCCCAATAGCCAGAATTGTCCCTCTGCTTCTGTCTCACCACTATCAACAAGCTTTAGCTTCTAGTTAGTCATTTCACTAGTATGTTTGGTGGGACCCCAGACCACTTGAAAACTGCTGAGGGTCTTGATGGACCACTTAATGATTATTATTATTTTGGCTGGTTATAGTAATCGTAATGTGCTATGCCAGGTGCCCTATCATTTTAATTGTATTTTTATTGCTTTTTTATTTCTTATACATTACATTGCATTACAATCTGAATTCCATAGAATTCAAATCATAATACAATAAAATCCAATGCAAGAAATAGAAGAAGCAATAAAATCCAATTCAAAAAATCAATATGAATAGTTAATGCAATAGATGTACTATCTCCCGACTTCAACTACAAATTCACAGCCATGCTGTAGGCTGTATGAATGAAGCTTGTGGACCACAGGTGGTCCATGGACCACACTCTGGGAACCCCCCACCTAAGAGTCATGCCTAAGCGCATTCAGGTATCTTCCCCCTAAATCAGCTAAATACCCAGTGGCTGAAAGCTGATCTTGGGACTGACCTTCCAAAGCCAGCAAGGTGTGGTATATACCTGAAAGGGGGAGCACAGCAACCTGCCAGTTGGGCACACATCCTGCCCAAATGGATAAGGAGGGTCCACCAATTTTGACCTTTCCATATGATGAATTAATTTATTTTGTCCATGGCATGTCACTAGGCATACCTTTAACTGGGTGACTAGGGGGCACATACTTGTTGTTGTGTTTTGTTTAGGGTGCTGCGGAAAGAGAGAGAGGTGTAGAAAAAGGAAGAGAAGGAGAGAAAGATATATACCTGTGGTTTTTTAAAAAATGAAAGTGAATCTAATGTTGCGAGTTAGGGTTAAAACTAGAGCAAATTCCAGGTCTGCAAAACTTGACGACCTTCCTGGAAATCTGAAAGCACAATACAGAATTCTGCCTACCCCAGCAGTGCTTGGGATTCCAGGTGTTGTTGGACTACAACTCCCATCACCCCTGATGGGATGTTGGGAGTTGTAGTCGAACAACAGCTGGGGACCCAAGTTTGAGAAACACTAAGCAAATGACTCATAAATTCATTCTTTTTTTATTTGAATTTTCTTAGCTTTCATCAAGACCCCACGGCATCAGTTACTACCTGTGGCTGCATTTTCTTGACAGCAATTGGAGTTGCATTGGTCACGAAGCATGGACACCTCCCTCTCCAGCATCTCAATCCTGCTCAGCAGCTCTTGTATGTCCCGGGAGGAGGCGGTACACTTGCAAGTCTGTTTGGGGAGGTTTATCCTGTGGGTGAAGGTGACCTGGCTCTCACTGTCTGAGGTCTGTTCGGTGTATTCCGTCATCCGGTCATCTTCTGAACTCACCTCTGGGTCAGAGGAAGCCTCTAGGGATGTTGCGCAGAGGCTGTCCAGAGGCACATTTATGTTGTATATATGGCTGAAGACCATGGGTTGGTCTTTGATAGGTGCCGTGTAGTTGGTAAAGCCCCCTTCGGCGTCAGTCACCTGTCTCTTGATTCTCTCTGTCATCACTTCCAGGCGGCACTCGAAAGGTCTGAAGATGGACCCTAGCAGCATTAAGTTGAGACTGACTAGAATGTTCCTTAGAACTGCATGTTCACCATCAGCCCCCATTTTCTTAGGAAGGGCAAGAAGCTTCTGTCCCAGCGCTGGAAGGCAGGGTTCTAGAGGAACCTGAAACAAAGCACATGAGGGGAATTTATGAGACCAGTGTTGGGAGTAGATCCTAAGAGGATATGATAGATTTGAGGTCAAAATCCTTTGCACAGACAGTAGAAACATCTATGCATGCAAGCATAGGATTAAGTGTGAGTGTGTGTGTGTGCGTGTGAGTGAGAGAGAGAGAGAGAGAGAGAAGGTTGATTGGGAAGAACCAAGCAAAAATGAACAAAACCCATCAATTTTCAATTCAGTTATAATCCACAATTAGGAAAAGTGAAGGGCAACAGTTACAACTATTATTGCTGACAACAAGTATACCTCTAAGCACTTGCAAAGTGCTTTAGAGCCTTAAGTAAACAATGCTATCCTCACTTTCCTAGGAGTAAGCCCCATGAATTAAATGAGATCTCCTTCTGAGCAGAAAATATAGGATTGCTTAATATGTTCTCAGGCAATACATAGGCCACACACTGATGTCACAGCACCATGCTTTGACCATATGATGTCATCTCTGAGGGCAAAGGGAGGTTGGATGCTTTAACTGAGATTCCTGCATTGCAGGGAGTTGGACTAGATGACCCTAAGGTTCTTTTCCAACTCTATAACTCTGTAATTCTGTGATTTCATGAATTACTCACTTGTGTATGTGTGTCTTAAGTGAAGTTTGTTTTTTTTTTACTTTTAAAAACTTATCACTTCACAAATAGACATTTTTTTTTAACAGGAAAGACTTCCCTTAACAACAAAATCAGGGGCCCAGGCGGCAGCCACCCTCCCTGGCCTCCAATGCTTCAATTAAAGCCTAGAGGAAGACGTCATGAGATAGCTCTTCCTATGGGGCTTTTTCTGATCAGCAAGTGCAGCCAGCTGGGGAGGTTACAAAGCGTAGGAGAAAGGTTTAATGGGAAAATGAACACCCACAGTTGCATCTCAGTGATAAAGCGAGTTCAACTCTACACCCCCTGATATTATATGAAAATGAGGCAGAAAAAAAGGAACAGGTGAAGAAAGCTTTCAATAAATTAGAGGAGAGATTTCTGAACAGCACTAGATTAAGGTGATCGTCTTGCCAGATTGCTTGGAGGTTTCACCCCCCCCCCCACTTTAGTTCTGCTCCGTCGGCAGCACTTAGGTTTTGAAGGCATGGCTTCTGAAAAGAGCTAAACTAATAAGTAACCTTGATAATGAAACAGTCTGCTTAAAAGAACAATTCAACCCTGTAAAGTTAATTGCATTCACACTTACCCTCTCAAACATCAGTAGTTTGATGTTCTCTAGCAGTAACTCAGTGGTATTGGTCTGATGCTCTGAAGTGTCTAAAGCAGCACTGCTGGTGCAATGAGCAATAATTTACTCCAGTTCGCTTTGGTGCATCTGTACAGACCACGATTATGTACCTTGTATCTGAACTTACTGCTGGAGAAAGCTGCAGCTGTTTGAGGTGGCAGGTGCAGCAGACACACACTTCCCCTTCCTTGCTCACTGAAATAGCTCCACAGAGTAGAATATGATAAAGAACTTAGCAGTATTGTACTGGAACAAAAATAAGGATCCCTACTTTGGTCCTGCCGCAAAATGCTCTAATGTACAGGAAGTTGAAGGACCCTCTTTCACTGAGACCACAGAGATGCTTAGAGACCTGAGACTGAAGAACCAGGAGCCACAGAGAGTGATGAATAGGATGTGCAGGACCCAGGAGCCACTTAAAAGTCAAGGCTGTCTGAATGATTGCCCAATACGTGTGAGCACACATGCTCTTAAGGAGGCAAAGCTTTGCGCTTTGATGCCTCAAAGTCAACAGCAGAAACATCTGCCACCTCAGGTGAATGTTTACAGGAGAGCAAGAGACTTGGGTGGGTTGTGTGTTGACAGGAAGGAAAGTGTAGGAAGGGTGGCTCCTGGTTTGAGAGGGCTCCAGGCAGGGTGCCTTCTGGTGGGCTGAATCTGTTGTTGGACCCTCGGAAGTTGACTGGGTGGCTGGGAACTGCCATTTTAATTTCCAGGACTGACCCCTTGCGATGTGATGATGAGGGCATTCTAGGAAATGTTAGACCCAGATGCCCATGTTCTGCCAGGCTGAAACGTTTTTGAGAGGGGGCAAGGCATGGGTCAGGGGATGATCATGCCAACTGCCCAAGGATGCCAGATGCTGAAATGAGTCCCAAATGTGGCTTCCTTGCTGCAGAAATCTAAGGTCTATTTCTCACAAAGGGCTTCTCCATCTTGTCCCACCACTTTCCCCCAGGGAGAACCACTCTTTAGCACTCAATCAAAATAAATAATACTTTCCCAGAACCCCATGGTACTTTTTTATTGTTATCATCAATGATTGCTACTTACACTGAATTATTAATATATTAATATTCGTACCGGAGGTGCAATCCATTGTCTCTCGAAACAGAGACAGTGGACAAGCCAGTGACAAATATTCAGTGTAATGATAATTAGTAATCATAAAAACTATTATGGTGTCATGGGAAAGTATTATTTAATTCATAACATTTATATACTGCTCGACTTAAAAAAACAACAAACCCTCAAATGAGTTTACAAAGAGAAAGTATCTGGAATTAAAACCATATCTCTGTCGTGAGAGCTGTTTCCTATATTACCACTTAATGTTATTTGTTTCAAGGAACCTGTAATTCGACCCTATTGGTTTCTGACAGTTTCCTTAGGCCTGCAAGCACCTTATGAAAGGGCCTGGCACTCTGCAGTCTTAGGGGGCCAATAGTTTAATGGAATCATCAACTGTGAGGAAAAAACTCCACTTCTTCCTCCCCACAACCCAAGTAGGTAAGGTTCTATTCTGCATATATTAATCATCACTGATGAAAGAAAATAATGAAGCGATGAAAATGTGACTTGTGATTGTTTGTTCCAGGCAGGAATGTGCCATTATCTCAGACCATGTAATATTCCCCAGAAACACAGCGCTAGTTTGATTGAGGGGCTCCTGCAGCGGCAGCCAGTGCATTAAATATCATTAAACTACACTGCACAATCTTAGGTTTATTTACGTTTGTGTTCAGGACGCACAGATATTGCTTGTTAAAAGTCATTCCACCCCCCACCGGCACACAGAATAATGTGGTAAAGTGTCTTTATTTGCAATTGGGCAACTTTCCATTTTGGTATTGATTTGCAGTCTCTGGGTGGTAAATCCAGACTTCATGCGCCAAATTCCTCCTGCAGCATAAACTCTTTTCTTCAGTGTAGTTACACCAGTGCTAGATTAGACCTGCAGGGTGTTTTTTTAAGTCTGAAGGGGCCTGTTTTGGAGGGGGGGCTGGGAAGGTGCTCATTGATCACATTTCACTCCAATACGTCTGCCTTAAAAATCACAGCAGAAAGTCTGTGCCCGGCAGACAGACAGTTGTGACTCTAGGCTAAGGGAGTCTTATTATTCTTACTACAGCACCGGGGTCAACTTGACTGCCTATTGCTTACCTGCTGGTGGGAAATTTGTCTTACATTTAATTTTCATTGGAAGAGTAGTTTATGGAGAGACCTGTACAGTCTGAATGCAGTTCTTTCAAAGAAAAGTAACTTAGAAACAGGTGTTGCATTTACTGCTTTTCTGCAGCAATTTCATGCTATAGTGGGAGCTGGCTATTTGCTTTTGTTCTGATAGCTTGCTGTAATTACTATGTTTGAATTTTCTCTCCTTTTGTATGAGTTTTTCCTCTTCTTGAAGCTAAGGATGGTTAGCCATACGTCACTGCAGGAAGGCACATAATGCTCGGTCAAAATGGTGGCTGATTCCCCCCCCCCCCATTGACTCTCCTATCAATTGTGGGGGAATTATTTGCACATTCAAAGCAATATAAGAATCCCTAACTCTGAACTGACTTTACTTCCCCATGTCATGATTTGGCTACTACATAGCCAAATCTGATCAGCGCAGTAGCATTGTGCACAAGTTGTGGGAATTTCACTGTACCTATATTTGTTGGCCAACATCCCAAAATATAGGTCACTACAGCTGTTCCTCAAAGGCTGGACAAAAGACGAGAGTCTCAACCTGATGGAAAATACACCCAGTGTCAGTGCTGACCTGAACTCAGGGAGTGAGTACTTTAAATGAGGCATTATACAATGGTGTAGATGTTATTTGATAGTTTTATGTAGTTTGATCTGTTATAACCCACCCTGGGACCATAAGCTGAAGTGGGGAATGCATATATGAACGGATAGATAGATAGATAGTGATTGTTATAATGCTTATTTTGGGATCCACCAATTGCTTCTGAGCAAGGGCAGGGTGTTTCAGGGAGCAGGAAAGAAGCCCTCTACAACCTGGGCTATAAGAAAATAGCAATTTATAGCAGAAAACAAATACAAGGAACTGAATCTAGCACTGAGCAGTTTTGAATCTAGCACAGAGCAGCAACCCAAACGAGTAAAAAAGATATACAGTACAAGTTTATTTAAAATATGACAAGCTTTTCAACTACATGAACTTATTTGGACTTACACTTTTGCTAGCTGTTGTACAAGTACGCCATGGCCCAGGGATGCCGGGTTGGGTAAAATATGGGGGGGGGGCAGGTAAGCCCCCCTGCACAATTGATCACATGATGGGGTGCACCCACACCATTTGAACGGCAATGCCCATAATATTTTTGTGGGGGCCTCGCTCCCTCAAATGTTTTATGGGGTGGGGCGAAGGGACCTCAGCTCCTAGGAACTGACTCCTATGCCATGGCCTTGCTGAAGAGGCTCATGTTCTAAGTCAGAGGGAAAGGACAGAAGTGAAGGAAGAGGACCTAGCATGAAGGGGAAAGTCTGGCTTTCCTGCAAATAAAGTTGGTGTTACACATGAGTATTCTTCTTATGGTGATCTAGCATCAATTTGTGGACACTGAGCTCTGCCTGGTGCAAATGAGGTGCCT